TGCATTAAGATTTTAAAAAAGGAAAATAAATCTTTGCAATGTGCAACATAATGAATTTTACAAAACGGTAAAAAAAAAAAATAATTAAAGATAAAACAGACATTTGGTGCATTGAGAATATAATTTTACAACAGCTTTGAGAAACGAGATGATAAAAGTCTATTTGATCTACAGCTCCCTTCCATTCTTCTTCTTCTAAATCTTCCATTTATGTTAACATTTAAAACTTCTTCTAAAAAGCTCTACAGCACCGCACACGTTTCCATTACTACGCTCTCCACTTCAAAAGCCTCAAGGTTGTGTTGAGGCGCCGCAGAATCTGCAGACCCTTCAGCATCACGAGTTATTGCAGTAAAACGCATTACGCAACTAGCATGCACGCGCTATCAACTTGAACGGTTTTACCTTAAAAATATGGAAACTTTAATGATTTGGATTAAATTATCAAAACAAACCAACTGCGTTAAAACAAAAACCTTTGTGCAGGATTTTTGTAATATTATTTTAGCATCTGCTGGAACATGCTTTAACAACTAAACTGATATTTCACATCCTGTTCACTCGTCCCACACTGTAAAAAATCAATCTGTCAGAATAAAGACAAAAACCCTGTTTAGAAAAAAACGACAACTTAATGCTCAAGAACAAAATGACTCATGTGCCATAAATATTAACTGTAGAACTGAATGTTACTGTTCGATACATACTGTATTACAAAACTAAATTTAATATCTATTTATTGCATTTACCTACTTTGATATATTGTAGTTTTTATTTGAGAACCCTACCACATTTTGATGCATTTGACAAAATAGCAACAAGGGTACACACAATGAGCACAGAAGTAAAACAGAAGGCGGCTGTTTTCACAATACGTTCATAATGAGTCTACATAGTAACCACATTAAAATCATCACATCCATAGTATCACCTCTGCTGGTGTGCAACAGTAAATATTAGTTATTAAAGACGATAAAAACAAAATTTGGCAGGAGCACCTATAAAATTTACTGTAAAGAAAAAAAACACAGTGAACAAAAAAACTTAAAATAATGGTAAAACGGTTGTGCCAAAAGGCTTTTATTTTAATAAACAAGATTAATCATAAAGAGGTGAAATATTCTGGGTGTTATACTAGTTTAGAAATGTGGGAATGATGTGCAAATTAAGCGGTGGGATACACCAGCCATGCAGCGCTTTTTACAGCTGCAGATTCTTGCATAGTTGATAAAATACATGCGTTTAGTGTTTTTCATGCAATACTGCATTCCTCATTTTCAGCTTTGTACATTGACAAGTTTACAAAAAAAAAACAAAAAAAACTTTTTAATTAAAATAATAACACGTTGCACTGCAAAAAGCTAGAGATCAATCAAGACTGGGAGCCAGAACTAAAATAAATCATAAATAATTTTAGTTCCTCCAACTGTTTGGAGCCACCGTGTAAAAACATGACGACCAGTCTCTGCATCAGCTTTGACTGGTCAGCTATGGACAATGAAGATCTGAGGGTGGACATTACCAGTGCACCTGTGGACCCTGTCCTGTTGGGAGGGGGGGGGTTGCTACTATAAGCTGGTTAATAAGATTGGTTGATTTTTTTTTTCCACCCCTCCAGCTTAATGTTGAATTTAAAACAGATGTGCCGCGTTCTCAATAAAACTTGTTAGCGGTCGTAATGTTATGGCTGACTATGCCGTAGGCGCCTTTGAAAGTTGGCCTTTTTACCATTTTTGAGAATTAAATATTGTCCTATGTGATCAAAATTACAGGCGAAAGGAAGTTTGTTTTCCACATTTAGTTTTTTATGATGACAAGCTTCTAATATTTACCAAGACTTTTTCATTTTTGTCAGAAGTTTTCTACAGATTTCTTTTAAAAACAGATAATTGAACGACGACCACATGTTCACAGAACGAGCCGCCTGCCATCAGAGTCTCTGCCTGGGTCTCTTTTTGTTCTGCATGTTTATAAAAACAGAACAATTTCAGCAACGTGGTGGTGATGATAAAAAATAAATAAAAAAAAAGGATGGAAAACACAAGAAGAGGTTGAAGCTTTAAGTGTTAATTCTTTAAAAAGACGCCACCAAAGTTTGGCCAAATGATGCGACTTAAATCTCTAATCTATATTTACATGTTGAGAATATATCATGAATAATATATATATTATGTTTTTGATTGTCAGACAGCCATCTACATTCCTTAATAAAATAAAATATCTAAAATAGAGTATCACATCATCAAGAACTGGGTTTGGCTACATAAATACGTTAACATTCCTTCTTTTTTTTCTTATCTGGCAACTACGTAAATGAGCAATAAGTACGGAAATGAGCATGAGCTCTAAAATGCAAACAGACAACTGCTCAATTGCGGACTTTAGAAAAATAAAAACAGAATTTACAGAAACGTGTTCTGCTTTGAGTCCAAAGAACCATGCACACGTTCCTGATAAATGGTACAGATGCAGCTACAGGAAATCCACCATAATTAAACATGAGGCGTCTACTTCTACGGCCTGTGACACAGTTGTGATAAATAATTAAATAATAATTCCAGCAGATACTTACATAAATAAGGCAGCTGTTTTAGTAAGTAGTTTAATTTTCTTTAAACGTCATGTCTGACACTTGTTTCCTATTTTAAAGAAAACCCTTTTGAAAACGTGAACTAGAGAAATTGTGCCTACACAGAATCACACAGGATGTTTATCACTTTGGATATTTAACCTGACAATGATGCAGCGGTCAATAAATTCACTGCAAGTCTTTAAAAACAAATATTAATGCGTGGTTTTTAAAAAAACAAACAGCTATTTCGTCCAATTTGCTTTCAAACGTCACAGTTAAAAATCTAAAACAGGCCATTTAAATAAAACAGTAGAGTTTAATTAGGTGGGATTTCCTCAAACATTCTGAGATTTACTAAGCTCTTTAACAAAAAGTCTGTTTTTGAAGTAGTGTGTTGAGTTTGAACCATTTACCCACATTCAATCTATTAAAACAGAGCCAGTGCTGGTGTCTGATGGGAGTATTGCAAGTAGAGGTGGGTCAGTTTTACAGTAAGAATACCAGATTTTTCGGACAATAAGGCGCATTAAAATACTTTAATTTCTCAAAAATAGACAATGAGCCTTATAATATAATTATATTGTCATCACTGTATGTTCCCATAAAATGGCGAAATTGGCTCTCTGAATTTAGCCCATCTGTCACCAGGCGGGGCGGTGGGTGGCCTGTGGGGGCACCCGGGGAACAACTGGGGATGGGGTGTCCTGCTCAGAGACACCACGAGATGTGCAATGACTGGGGATTAAACCCAGGACCTTCGGGTCCCGAGTCGGCTGCCCTGCCCCAACACCATCTCGGCCCCACAGTCCAGTGCAGCTTATGTATTAATTCTGGTTGTGCTTACTGACCTCAAACTGATTTTATGTGGTGCAACTGAACAATGTTGAGAGTTATTGTGAATGAGTTGAATAAAGTTTGACTTATCTGTTTTGCTTAATGTGCCTTATAGTCTGAAAAATACGGTGGATTAAGATAAACCAGCATGACAAAAGCGACTAATCTGCACTTTACTTTGATTCTAGGATTTCACTGTAAAACTATTATATACCCTCATGATTCAGAGTGTTCAGCATAACGAATGGCTCATATGATGACTATATATATAGGTACAGAGGTACAGAAGATAAAGATAAAACAGCTTTCTATCTCTTGGAAATGTGTGGTTAGAGTTTGAAACAACGTCATTTAAAAAGCATCAGTGCCGGTGGAGCACTGTCCTGTCACAGCACCATTACATGAGAAGTGACTCTAAAATGAGCCCTGAAACGTAGAGATGAATGTCCCCTTTTACCATTTCAAGTCTAAGGCCATTGACTACAATATATCTTGAAACCACTGACACAATTATTATAACTTTCAGACTTGATCTGTACAAAGTGCTACTACAACAACATTCCTACCAGTGATGCATATGTTTAAGGAATTATTTGTTTCCATGTGCAGCATTGAAAGGCGCTTAAGAATATTTTCATCTTGCTCATGGAAGAAAAAAAATAAACAATAAAAACAGGTTACATACAATTTACTTTCTGTTGACGTGTACAGACACATCTAGATATATTTATAGAACTTGATTTGAAAGAGTTTCATTCCAAAACACACTGGTGTTGTTGCAGAAATATGTAACTTCAATAAGCATTCCATAAAAATAAAGGTTTTAGAAAAATCCAACCACTTTCTCAATTTTGAGAGGAGTTCTTCCTCTAAACTTAGTTTTGGTCCAGGTCCTGCCAAGATGCATTATATTCATTTATTAATCCTAAAAAAAGCTAAGTTTAATTTGATGCTCCTTTCTTTCAATCTCTCAATACAGTTAGTGTTAATTTAATCCTATTTTTACAGAACTAAGTCTTTTTCTTGTATGTTTTGATAAAATAAAATTAAACAATGCATGTGTCTGTTAATTACAAATGAATGGGTGACAATAAAAAAAAAGGTCAAAATTCAGTTTGTTCCGTAATCATCGATGAAAACAAGAACAAATCACATCCAGTCAAAAGCATTTTGGAACGAAACTCTTAAATCTGTGCATCAACTCAGTCTCAGTGTCAGAGGCTAATTATTGATGTTATGGTTGTGTTTAAATAGACGACTTTTAATAAAGCCAGCAAACGGAGGAGCATCAATAGCCACCGTTTAACTGAAATATTAGAAAATAAGGAGGAAACCGTTTCTCCAGCAGACACAATATGCTGGACTCTAAATTTTTTAATTTACGCTGCTGCATCCTTAAACAAACCTTAATTTTAAGATTCCCGAAAGTAATCGGATCACTAAGTTACCTGAAATAAATCGTGCACCACAGTTATAAATACTTTAGTCAAAAGTCTGAGGTGGAAGCCAGGACTCAAAGATATAACCGTACGCACCGGGGGCTATTTTACAAAACCATAACATCACAAAACGTGTCTCAGATACATCTGGTGCTAACGGAAAAATCTAGGCACAAAGTAATTAGCTGCATTTTGATTGCTGAATATATTCACCACAGATGTATCACTGAGGCCTCTGTGCTGTTCGTGCAGGAGACTGCATGCTTGACGGCAGCTTTCGGGAAGACGCCATCCTTTCAAGAGGCTTCTTCCCATTAGTGGGAAACTTGCTACTTACGACCGATGTGGAAGACTTGGACTTCCCAACGTTTAGTAGGGTGCGACTGAGAGAGCTGGGGGGTTTGGAAGACTCCTGTTTCTCTGACTTGGACACACCTTCACGAGTCTCTGTTTGCGAAGACGCCGTATCTCCAGTCTTTCGCTCATCACCGTCCATCTCCTTAGCTTGTCCGTTCTGCTTGCATGTCCTTTCCGAGGCCTTTTTGGTAAGCATGGCGCTTTTTCCTAAATCAGCCGACCGGCGACTTTCTCTTTGTCGAAGGGCGCTCTTGAAGAAAGACAAGCCTTTCTCCTCAGATTTGCTGCTCCGCTGCAGGTCTCTGGTAGACACGCTGGGCGAGCGTAGGCTCGTTACAGAAGAACTGCTGCTGGAGCTCCTCACAGATCTCCTCTCAATCCGGTTGCCGTCCCCGTTCTTGGAAAGTGAGGAACGAGCTGCACAGCTGCCTCGAAGGCTGTCGACCAGAGGGCTGGTGTGCACGGAGTCTCTGCTGCAGCTCCTTTCTACCAGCCGTTTCCGGCTGCCTGTGGAGCTTTTCTCAGCGCTACTCAAACTCTTCTTTGCAGTAGGCGAGGGAGAAGCTGAGGCCTGAGGTGTAGAGGGAACACATGGCTTATGTTGTGGTGTTGCCGCTACAGGTTTATTAGAGTCTTTTGTTTTGGAGGGAGTTCCACTGGGTGTTGAGGTGCTTTTCTTTGCGGTCACAGTCTTGTCTTTTGCGCCGCTCACCTTTTTGCTTTTAGTAGGTGTACTGGAAGACACATCTGAAGCAGGGGTCTTATTGTTATAGCACAGTCTTTTCTTGGAGGTCTTTTCTTGTTCCGTTTTGCTGGAACTTTTTGCAGGGCCTGTGCTTTCCGCCTTAATGGCAAATCCTCCAATGCTACTTTTTCGTTTCTGCTCTTTGGAGGGAGTAGCTTGAGTGGGTAACGTGTTTTGGTCTGCAGCTGTAATCTCGTTGTTGTTTTCTGTTGCTTCAGTTTTGCTGCTCTTCTTCTCTACTGGAGTGGGAGCCCTGCAGTACATCACGTCTATGAATCTCTTGTTGTCGTCGTTGTCACTGAAGTTGCTCTCCATCATGGACAAAGGCGTCCTGCTGCCAAAGTACCGCTCGTGCCTACTGTAGCTGCCAAAACAAGAGGTGGAAACCTTATCGTCGCATGCCTCTCCAATCCTCTCCAGAGGAGGAGAACAACGGGAGTCGAGGGAGAAACGTGAAGGTGAGTTGGATCTCATTTGCAGCTTGGCAGAGAGAGACCAAGAGGGCTTCAACCCACTCTCACTGAAGACTAAAGGACTGGCAATAGATGACCGGGAGGACAAGCTCTGATGCTGAATACTTCTCACAAACGGACGCACAGAGAATCCACCTAATAGCATAGAAGCATTTAAGAAAGATATATATTGTTTGTTAAAGTAGAAAAAACTAAATATACTAGATAAACAATGTGTAACAACAATTTTAATATTAAAATTAATATTCTAAACAACTAGAAATATTAAAAAAATATGCACAAAGCTGCTAAATGATGCAAGTTGTTTTATCTTGCTGGTGGATCACAGTATCTTGGTAAATATCCTTCTCAAATTGGGCATCTCAAAAGAAGCATTGGTTTGTAGATTATTTGGCAAATAGGACACAGTGTGTACAGATGGCTGGAGTAAGCTCGAGTTTTCTTAAAGTAAAAAAGGGTGTGCCCCAGGGCTCTGTCTTGGGGCCCATCTTATTTACAATTTACATTACTGCGCTGTTTAAACATTTGCAAAATGCCTCCCACCACCTTTATGCTGATGACTGTGTAATTAATTTACTGTTGTGCAAATTCAATTGCTCAGGCACTTAAATTTTTACAGGCTGCTTTTGATGAGGTGCAGATTCGTCTTGAGCAACTAAAATTGGTTTTAAATTCTGATAAATCTAAAATAATGTTTTGGTTGTTTGTTTGTTTTTTCAAATTCGTCTGTCCCACTGGAGAATATCCTTCTAATATAAACTGCCCAAGTTCTCGAGGGGGTCTCCAGTTATAAGTACCTGGGCTTGATTATCGACGAGGAGCTTTCGTTTAAATTTCATGTGAAACACCTAATCTCCAAATTAAAGGTGAAGCTCAAGTTCTACTTATGAAACAAATCATGTTTCTCCCTTTGAGCTAGGAAGCTTTTTATCACAGCTGCTTTTTTACCAGTACTTGACTATGGCGATGTTGTCTAGATGTGTGCTTCAAACAGTTGTCTACAGTTCTTGGATCCAGTGTACAATTGTGCATTAAGATTTATCACTGGTTGTAGCCATCTTATCACTGTGAACTGTATTTTAAAACCAGTATGTCTTCCCTGTATAACAAGTGATATGTACGTTGGATGACATTGTTGTACAAGTCTCTAACTGGACTGCTTCCACATTATTTACTTATTTATTCATGCACTTTTATTCAAAGAAAGGACAGCTGTTATGCCTTATAAGGACTTTTTGCATTTTGATGTTCATTGTGTGCGAACAGAAAAAGGCAAGAAAGCTTTTAGCTTTTCTGGCCCTTCAGCTTGGAATGCCTTGCAAGCTGAATTAATAAAACGGTCAGAACTTGTTTGAGTGCTTTCTGCAAACTTATAAAAAAACGAAAAAGGATATCTTGTCAACAGTGACTGTGTTTTAGATCTTACATTGTTTTAAATTATTATTATTACAACTATTGCCCTGTACTGTTATATTGCTTTTATATATTTCTGAAGTCCTATTCTGTATCTTGTTACTTGTTTGTTTTTATGACATGTGCTGCTGCCTTTTCTTGGCCAGGTCACCCTTGTGAAAGAGGTCTTGATCTCAATGGGAGTTTTTCTGGTTAAATAAAGGTTTAATAAAAATAAAAATCTTTGTATAAAAATGCTGTATTGGTTCTCACTTTTTTGTTAAATCCATTAAGGTAACAATAACAAACAGCAATATTTCTGCAGCTTTAAATAATGTAAAGTTTTCTATCCTCACCATCATCCTCATTACGCTCCACAGGAAACTCTACTGACTCGGCTAGTGAAGCCAGAGAGGTGCGTCTGGAAGAGGCTCCTGAGGCCAAGCTCGCAGGCCTGCTGCCAGGCAGCCTGTTGATCCAGTGGTCACACAGGGAAGAACTGGTGGAACCTATGTATTAAAAAACAGGTTTAATTTCTAAAACGACTATAAAGCAATTGTTTTAATGAAAATGTCTAAATAATTTGGGGTTATTGTGTAAGAATCACTGGCTAGAAATATCCTGAAGTATGCTCAATAATATCCTGAAGCATGCTCAATAATCCAGGTAGAAAAATCCAAAAAAGTTCAATCTGGTCCTCTGGACATTAAAAAAAAACAAAACAAAGCAAAAAAATGTAGAAACGTTTCGTCTCTCATCCAAGAGACTTCCTCAGTCTGAGGTGCTGTTTTCAGCTCAGTCTCTTAAATAGCACCTTCTCGTAGTGGATCAACCAGTTTTGCTGCTGACAACCAAAACCAGCTGATCACATGCTCAAGAAGGACCATCAGCCTAACAATCAAAGATGGCCTCCTTTACTCCTCTCTCAAACCATCTGTCCAGGATGTGAACATCTTCAATGATCCATTGTTCCATTGAGACGAAACGTTTCTATATTTTTTTGCTGTGTTTTTTTTTTTTTTTTTTGAATGTCCAGAGGACCAGATTGAACTTTTTTGGAGCATGCTCAATAATCCAGGAAGATAAATCTAACAAGGTTGAGTCAGGTCCTCTGGACGGATTCTTCTTGTTGAAACGTTTCGTCTTTCATCCAAAAGACTTCTTCTTTTGTATTTTTCTTTAAAAAAAAAAAGAATATATTTTTAAAGATATTTTCTTTTAATGGCAGGTTGGCTTTCTTGGACTGTGAGGTCTCAGTCTCTGATAGAGGACATTTGCAAACTGAGGTGCACCACAAACCCACACACACAGACCAGTATTTGCAGTTTGACTCCCATCACCCTTTGGAGCACAAGTTAGGAGTCATCAGGACTCTGTACCACAGAGCAGACAGCATCCCCACTAACTCAGGAGCCAGGCAGAAGGAGAAATCCCACACAAGACAGGCTCTAGAGCAATGTGGATATCCTAACTGGGCCTTCCTGAAAGCCGAGAAGAAACCCAAACAGGACTCCAGTCAGCCATCAGGTGAAAAGGAGGAACCCAGACCTAGACCAGTGGTCATTCCATATGTTGAGGGAGTATCAGAGAAACTGAGACGTTTATTTTCTAAACAGAACGTCCCAGTGGCTTTTAAACCCCAAAATACATTACGGCAAAGACTGGTTCATCCCAAAGATCCAGTCCCTTGGCACAAACAGAGTAATATTGTGTATGCTGTTCAGTGTCAGGAGGGTGATCAGTCTTACATCGGGGAAACAAAACAGCCACTGGCCAAAAGGATGGCCCAGCACAGAAGATCAACATCATCAGGCCAGGACTCTGCGGTCTACACTCATCTCCAGGCCAGCGGTCATCAGAGCACTAATGATCAGTCGTTAGGCTGATGGTCCTCCTTTTGCATGTGAACAGCTAGTTTTGGATGTCAACAACAAACTGGTTGATCCACTATGAGAAGGTGCTATTTATAAGAATGAGTTTGTTGCAGCTCCTCCGACTGAAGAAGTCTTTTGGATAAAAGATGAAACGTTTCAACAAAGAAGAATCCGTCCAGAGAACCTGACTCAACCTTGTTAGATGAACAGAAATACTTTCTCATAAAAAAAAAATCCTGTGACCAGAAACCATTTTATTATTAATCATATCTGTCTAGTGGATAACAATGATTTAATTTTACATCAGAAAATTTGATGTGTTGAACTTTAAAATACAGCAGCAACAGTTTGTTCTTAGCAGCAATGTAGACATATTCAGACATGGCTGAAAAATAAGTGACAAACTACGAACACGCACAAAGATATATAAGAATTACTAAATAAATCTAACGTTTGACCAATTTTTGTCAGAAAATAAACAGTAAAAAAACAGATACTAACCAGCGACAGAGCTGTTGGCCGACCAGGAGGGAATAACAGTTCTCCTCTGATAAAACAGTATGTAAGCTGTCTGCTGACAAACATTATCATCAGCTACTGGTGAGACCTCACTGTCATCAAAGCAATACCACTGACCATCAATAGAGTTTTTGCAATAAGCTGTGAACACAGTGAGAATAGCAAAGGGGTCAAACAGGCACTAATAACATCTTAATCTCCACAGATGCTTTTATTTGCTGCAGTAATCTGAATTACCAGTGTAGTGGCCTCCGTGCATATTGCCGTGATGGTTGCACACAGCGTACAGGTCGTACAGGAAGTCATCTGGGTTTCTTCCAAGGCCGTAGGAGCGTCTCCATGGCGACCAATGGGAGGGTAAACTCCAACTGCTCTGGCTGCGTTTGACTACATGTGGAGCCATGTCCATCCCCATCAGTGGGAACCGGACCATGTTCTGCATCTTCACTCTCCGGTCGCCCTCCTGGAGGACAAACAAGTTCCATTTCTAAATCCTTTTTTTTTTGCCAATGTTCCGTTTCATCGCTTCACATAAACTAAAATCAGTTTTTTTCCTCTCTCGTAACAGCAGAGCTTTGGAAAAATAGCCTGCAGCATGTGTTAATGTGCAATAAAAATTGTGATTTTTATGAAGCAGTTAAAAAAAAAGAGAAACATAAAAATGGCATCTGGTGAAAATGGAGCGCCTATTCTTCCAAATACCAAGATGCTCAGAAATTCAACATACAAGCCAAATCCCACAGTACATGAACAAATATACATTTTTCATAAAACAAACAGCTTCTTCCTTTGAAACTCAAGCAGTTAGACAATTCAAAATACCTGTCTGAACCTCTTGAGATGCAGTATAAGCACATCCGGCAGCGTCCACAAGCTGAGCTTTATCCGGCCCTGCTGCAGCTGCTTGCAGTGGGGACAGCGCCAGGCATCATCAGGGGCCAGCTGAAATACACACACAGCCCAGAAGGCGGTTATGAAGAACAAGTTTCAACCACACTGTTTTTAAAATAAGCTTCACACAGGGTGAGGCCTGATTTTCCACTCGTTTCTCTCCACTCTCTCTAACACAGCAGTTTCAAGGCAACTTAAAACCACAAGGTCCGCATACGACTCAGCTCAGAATCCCAAGTTTGTTTGAAACGTAGCATTAGGAGTCAAATTCACAGATGAACCACAGTGACTGGAAGGCTTTTTGAACTTTGAACAAAAATAATTAAAGTATGGGGCGAAGACTAACATAATCCCATAGTTCAATGCAAACCACTAATAGCAGGGAAAATTTAAAATTTATTTTAACGTCAAAGTTCTGACAGAATCTTTAAATGCACCGGCATACCACAGTTTGTAAGAGTATGTTTTCAGACAGATTGGTACCTGCTCTTCCTTGGTGTAGAGCTGTAAGCACTGAGCGAGAGTGCAGGCCTGGGGCTGATGGTGCTGCTGCTTGTGCAGATAAACACTCTCAGCATCTGGGATGTACTCCTCCTCAGTGTGTCCAAACAGACTACAGGAGCATCGGGATCAAGACATACAGGAACATCATGCAAGGAGAATACAATCTATGATGAGACAGTGTATTTATTTTACTAAACCAACTTCATCCTATACATTGATAGTTCATGTATTCAATAAACGTGCACAAACTTATATGAAACCCAACGAGGATTCATTCAAACACAACAACTATCAGCTGATCCAGAAAAAAACTGTAAAAGTTATGACTTCAATTTGATTAGCACTTAATGATACAACTATGTACTTGGCTGACTTAAAAAAAAAACAACAACTGCAGACAAGCCTGATTGTGTCGGGGGAACATCACGTTGTGATATTTGGTTTAAAACCGCAGCAGTTTCATTTGAAGCACATCTGTTTTGAGGTTTTTGTCAAACAAATTGAAGCAAAAGTGCCCGAGTCCATGAAAGAAACGTTGAGTTTTAGGTGCTGCTAAACTTTAGTCTTTTCAGGAACTTATCAGAATAAACCAACATGTTTTTTACTGAAATGATACCAAACTGCAAAACAGTTCTCAACAATAGATGAAGTGACAGAGATTAGTAGAAAAGAGCATTTGTGATCAATTTGTAAGCATGTGTAAAAAAAAATGTAAAGAAAAAAACTCAGATCAAGATCAATGAAGTGTCATACATCTCCAGCAATTTGTCTGTGGGGGTCAAATAGTGGAGCTTCAAATGCTTTGAGGTAACAAACTGGTTTATTTAGAGCAGTGGTTCTCAAACTTGGGGGTCCGCAAAATAATATTTTTATTTATTTTTTACAAATAACCCGTTAAGTTCAACAACCCGTTAAAATACACCAAAATGCAGGAAATCACATCGACTTTATTCTACATTTTCTGGGGGAGGACCCCCAGACACCCACCCTCCCCCCCATTTGTGGTCCGGCATGGATCTGTTTACAAATTTAGCCCCGTTACTTGGTTTGACTGCTCTGATTCTGTTCAGTTTCATGTGAACAGTTCTCTGTAATAATTTGAAGAAGTGGCGATACATTTATTATGGTCATTATATGAATAGGTGTTTTTTGATCCTGTTAATTTTCTCAAAACTGTAATTTTTGGAAGTTGAAATTAAAAATTCTGTTAATTGTGTGTGTGTTGAATGAAAAATACCCCATGTTTAAAAGTATAAACATTGAATTAACACTATTAAAGTACTGGTCTCAAGTTCTTATGCTACATTAATATTTCCATTGTATTAAAGAGACAAATTGAAGAAGATTATTTAACAAACGAGTGTTATGATGTGGTCCCTAAAACTTTTTCTCCCCTGTAAGGGGTACCTGAACCAGTGGTGCAGTCTACGTGATACGCTGGTATACGCCGTATACCCACTACAAAAGCTTGGGAATTTCCATATACCCACTTAAAAGTGCTCCGCTCCAGCTATGTGAGGCTAGCGGGAGTGACGCAGAGCATCGCTGGAACAAGGGCGGGGGGGGGGGGGGGGGTGTTTCAGAATAAAAGTTTTGACTGGATATTTAGATTTTGGCATTTCAAAAGTATTAGTAACGTTTGAAGCCACCAGTTCGAAGTTTTGAGAGCAATAAAACAGCAAAACCCTTATTAAACAAACGATTCTTGGTCACATTACTTTACATTAAAAAAAAAATTCAAACGACACAAATTGTAAAAAAAAAAAAAAAAAACACTTCATTTAAAACATTCATATTTACATGAGCCACTTAAAGCCTAAAGAACTTTCTTTTTTTGTCCCATTCACTTTGAACTAAAGTGACATTAACTTGTAATAATAAATATGATACTATGTGCATGTATGTATGTAACATATAGCCATTCATCCGTCCATCCATTAACTTCCGCTTCCTAGGGAGGTGCTTTGGAGAAATCAAAATAAATTGACAATTACATTGTACTAACCGGTGTATTTTGGTTTCTAAGCACAGTACACCCTAGATACAAAACTAGACTACGCCACTGCCCTGAACCCAAAAAGTTCGAGAACCCCTGATTTAGAGAACACATTTGCATCTTTCCTCGTGTTTATTAGCATTAAAACTGTACATTAAGTTGTGTTTTACTCACTAGTCCTTGGTCTCTTTGTCCCACTCCACTACAATCTTCACATGTGGAGGTCCCCCCTGTCCACAGGACTTGTATGCTCTGCAGTAAAAACAAGATTAGTGGGAAATAGTCATATTGACAGTTATTATTATTATTAATTATTATTATTATTATTATTATATTTCATTTATTGTATCCAAGCTAGTGTTAAGAACCTTTTTCTAGTTAAATCTGTGCATCTCAGTGTCTTTTGTTGCATGTTAAGCATAAATAAAGATCAATCTTTGAGGGATAGTTACTACAACAGAATTAAAAAGGTCAATTCTTTCAGCCCAAATTACACTCTTGACTTGTATTACTCTTGCATAATCACATGGATTAGTGAAACAAGCTGAACTGGCAGGCTTACTAAACAATTAAAACCCTGTTTAGGCATGTCCTCAACCAATAGGGAGAAAGAAGACAGAACCACCAGATTAATGGAGACTGATCGTATCTGGGTTAACTCCACTTCCTTATAAGCTGTTTCACATTTGAGTTCATTTTGGATAAACACGGATCTCAACACACATCGATTTCACAGATCGGTTGTTAATATTGAGCGTTGAGAAAACAATTAAAACTTGAATATAGCACAGTTTAAGTGATAAACCGTTTCAGAAAAGCTATGCGTTTGTTGAAATAGCGATTATATTCATAAAAATCTGTCCAGTTTGATTAAATTTGATCTACTGTATACTTCTTTGTTGGAACTAAGTTTTTTTTTAATGGCATTTGCAGTTTTTTTTAAACATTTTAAATTAAACTCTATGTTTTGTAAAGACATTAAGTTCAGTTTTAAATAAAAGTTACTAAATACATGCTTACCATATTTTTCGCTGTATAAGTTGCACCTTTTAGCGTAAATTAGCATGCCCTGCGACTTATATACAGTCAAGCGACTCATCTATGTTAATTTCCCATATTTATAAACAATTTTTGGCTGAGATCTGATGATTTCATTCATTCTGACATGAAAAATATTGAACATTACCATTTTCAACCACTAGAGGGCGGCTGAGTAATATGGCAAGCCAAGTGTCTCATTAATAGGTAAAAGTGGCTATTAATGAGACACTTGGCTTGCCATACCAAGCCACCTTCGTCTCGCTCCAGAACTCCTGAAGCAAACGTCAAATCAGCTGCATTTCTCCGCGCCGCCCAGGCGAAATGCAGCTGATTTGACCATTAAAGTGAATTTATTAAGGAAAAGTTAAACTGAGACACACTTTTACTATAATTTCGAGCAAACAAATAACAGTTTTTAAGTGTTAATCTTGTTAAATTTTTGTTAAAGTCCTCTCGTGCACGCTCCCGCGACCATCATTTGGCAGCCAATTGATTTTTGGCACACCGGCCCACGTTTCTGTGTGGGTCAGCGGTGATGCATAATAGATGTGACTTGTACGGTGAAGCAACGTATTTATGTTTTTTCCCCACTTTATTAGAAATACAGTATTTGGACTGATGCGACATGTACGGCGGCAAGTACGATAATCATCAGGACCGACCTTTCAACAGTTGGGTGACACAGTGGTCTTTCATCTTGAGGAAGGAGGTAGGTAATACCAACAACACCAACCACCCGAAGACTGAACGGTCCAACCTAAAAAAAAAAGTTTACAAAAAGTTCAAACACTTAAAGGATCAATGCTGTTGTTTCAATGTGTTTATTACAAATCTATTCATTACGGACATATACGGAAAGTAACAATCTCAAATTGTGACTGATGGTTCCTAAGGTGGTGCATTTAATATAGAAGGCACATGTTCCTCTTCCTACCTGAATGTAGACCCCAGGCCTCAAAATGTGTCGCATTTTTTCCAGGATCTCTTTTTGCAGAGCATCCCAGGTCACAGTGCGCTCCATGTACAGTACAAAAGGCAGACCAAACCTTGAAAAACATAACGTACAGCCCTGATGAGCGTCTAATCATCTGAACATTTGTTAGAGAATCATGCCATAAACAGACCATGTATTTTTTAATTATCCTGAATTATGTTAAAGTACAGAACACTGTAGAAGAAGTGGCGTTACCTTTTAGCCTGGTGGCCAGTACATGCTCTGTTACACACTAAAAGGATCATTTTTTCTGGCCCTAAGTTTTTATTGGGTGATCCAGTTACAGGAGTCACAGCCCCCTGCATGAAGGACGGAGTCCTGCTGATTTCTGCTCCGTACTTTAAATTATTATGGTTCAGGTTTGCCAGAAGGCTTCCTGTGACAGAAAAATAAACCAATGAAACGCATGCTCTGCTGTTCAACTGTTCATTAGTGCAAGTGTGGAAAAGACAGGGAAAAAAAAACGAGTATATTTTATAATATCTACATCTAAATTACCTCTTTTTGTGCGTAAGCTTTCCAGTTTGAAGGTCTCTGGTGTCTCAAAGGCAAAGATGGAATCACTCTCTTGAATGATGTTCAGATCGTCGTCGTCGTCGCAGAATGATCGATGGAAGCCATCGTAGTACATTTCCGTCAAAACAAACTTAAAAACAGAGATTTAGCTTAACGTTGAGCCAAACACATTATTCTTCAGAATGCATTGCATCATTTCCATCAACGTCCAGTGTGTACTTTTATTGTGTTAATACGGAGCTGCAGCTGTGCTACAGGAAAAACCTGTTAGATGAAAGTACTATATTACTATCTGACTGCAGGTAGATCTGGTTTTACAAACTCTGAGCTGAAACCTTGTGACTGTAATATAGCCTCAGTGTCAGACCCTGATAAGAGACGGGAATAGCACCTGGTCCATGGGGATCTTGGTTTCACGTGACACAGCATCTCTGAGGCGGTAGACGGTACTTTTGAGAGGGACAGCGACTCCAATCCTCATACAGTGGGAGTACTTCCCCTGGTAGACCACCGTCACATACAGGGGCCTGAGTAAAACACAAAATGTAACAAATTATTACGTGTTTTACATCGTTCCCGTGCTTATTTCTGTGTGGAAACAAAACAAGGCTGATAAACATTAGAAAAACTTCTTAATGTTAGAAAATAAATGTTGTTCTATGTCATATAAGCTTCGCCCTTTAAGGCCTTCGCTTTAGTGGGTTTATCCCGTTATGCAGAGCATAAGCACTGAAAAAATTAGTCCACGCCCACCTGCTGTGTGGGCCCCACCCGGTCCGTATAAATTACGTTAAGAGCGGGAAATCGGCTCCCATTTTTTCTTCAGCGAGCTAATATAGCACTGTCAGAAGAACAAAGAAGATAAGTTGTGTAAATGACCAACCTTGTGAAGGATGCTGGGCCCGGCAGTCGACCTCCGGTCGTCCGGTGAGCTCTCCTCCCCGAGGAGAAGATGACAGCAGTCTTATTCCAAGGTAAGCGCCGGGGAACATTTCCCAGTGACAGGTCACTACACGCTGGACAACGCCATCTTGTATTTTTTCCTCTTATCGCCGACCCTCGGGGCGAACCGGATGGTTCCTCCGGTGCAAGGCGTGCTCAGCTGCAGCCCCGCTGCTCATTCCCTCCTGGGGAGCGTAGTGTCGGTGGAGGGGGGCTGAGTGAATGCTCACCCCATCCCACCTCGTTTTTTTCGCATCGGCGATCACACCGCTCCCGGCCGACGGCGCCCCCCAGGGTTTGCCCGGCGTAACCCAGGAGGAGGCTGACATGAAAGGACCCCTTTTTACGTCCTACGCCTTTTCCCGCCAGTTCGGATGATCCGGCGGGAAGGTTGTTTACTGACTCCATTCCGGCTCACCGTCTTGATCCATATGGCCTCGTGTTCCCAACAGGACGTCCTACGGCGAGGCCACAGACGGGTTTTTTCCTGGTAGATTGGGGGAGCCGGTCTCCACAGTCCGCACCCATCTCCAGAGCAGGGTTCACTGAGCGGAAAGTCCCTCCGTGCCCTCTGGAGCCGAGCCTGATGGAGGCTCCATGGGAGTAAGATGTTCGAGGTGGACCAGCGTCCCGTGCCTCCCGTTAGCATAACCGAGACGGTGACATCGCTCTCCAACTGAGCTCATCAGCATGTGTTCCACGGCCGCAGCGAACAACACGTTACGCTGTTGGCGTACACGTTCAGAGGCGAGAAGAGACGGTGGCCCTCTCTCGTAGCAGCTGCTTGCTAACGACGCTGCCGGCCCCTGCAGTACGCTCAGCCTACAGGGCAGCTGACGTCATCACCAACCGGTGCGCCTCTTCGCGGTCTGCCGTCCCACAGCGCAGCCGGAGAACGAGGTCCAGAGGTTCTTTCCTGGCTCGCCACTCCACCTTCCTCTCAGGAGAGACGCAGGAGTTTTGCTGGTGATCCTCCTTTCATCAGCGAGAGATCATTTCAAGCTGCTCCACGGCTGCTCTACGCCCCCCCAGCTCTGCTACGCCAGCCCCTCCCGTCAGACGTCCCCGGCATCCGGAAGTTCATTTTTTTTCCCGGACTTCGCCAACAGGGGGCCCTCCAGGACAACAAACAGAGCTCAACGAAGGTAAACAGGTGTCGTTTTTGGCTGGAGGTGTGTTGATGACACTGCGAATAACATCATTTTATGATGAAGTGTCCTTTAGCCAGACTGTCAGCATGGTTATCTGACAAGCGGCTCCATCACCCACACTCATCACGAATGAGCCTTTTAAGGTTGTTTTTCATTCACTGTCAGCGATGCCGATGCGCGCCCCCGCGGCAGGAAGGCGCGCACGCAGCTCTCAACAACCGCCGTTCACGTCAACGTTCACGTGAGATCACGGTACGAGCTCAGCAACGTATTTCGCTTATCGGCAGAAACGACACAAGTTTTGTCATTGCAGTGATGTCAAACGCGCGCTCCCGCGGCGTTAGCAGTTTCACAGCGGCTCTGCCCCCTTTTATCCTCGAAGAAGGTTTTCTGAAATAATATTGCAGCTCGTGGAATCATTCTAAGCTCACGTGATTCGCAGCAAACAATGAACGTGTTCTGCAGACCGAGCCAGTGGTAACCCAGTGCCAACGCGCGCCCCGCAGCAATCCTGGTGTAAGCGTCGCATGAGGACGCACACACACAACCCTTCAGGGCGTGTCAGCTCATATGTGAACCTGCTCCCGAGTGTTACACGGTGCAGCTGCACACAGCATAAACAAAGCTGTTTTTTCCCGCAGCAATACACAACGTCTTGCGCTCTCACTCAGCGCGCTCCAGTTCACATCAGCATGTATGCGAGTTTCACAGCATAATGCGTGCTCGTTTTATAACTTATAAACGGGTGGCAATGAACGCGCGTTTCCCAGAGGGATGGGCGAACCGTTTTTCATCCGGGACTCACGCTGCAGTTCAGCTAAAACCCCGGTGTGGGGAACCCTGTGACGTTTTTTCTGTCATTTATGAACAGATCTCGTCCCCTCTAGCAGAAGCTCTGGAAATTCTGTTTTAAATGTAATTTCTAGAGCCTCAGATGGAGAGGAAACACCAGTTCTCTCTTATCACTTCCTGATCCAAACGAACTGGAAAGATGAGATTTATTTGAGATTGTTAATTTTCTGAGCTGTGAGAACAACACTCCATTTTAATTATGCATTATCTGGACACCTGTGGCTGCTGAGCAGCTTGTTCAGACAGGTGGCAGCAGTGCAATTCACGTGAATGGTTGAGTGATATCAGCTGTTTTCTGTCAGCAGACCTACGTCACACACATTTAACAAGCTGTGGGGGCGCTGTGCTCCACACAGCAGCTGTTTTAAATGTTTTTTGGAGTGTCGCACGGGATCCTTGAATGTGACTCAACACTGACCTTGAGCTGCAGAATCATCAGGGGTTTTGATTTTCAGACAACAAGCGTCTGTCGCATACATACTAACAGGAAATGTATGCATTTTTTCAACCCATGTGCCACATTGTGAGACAGATACTGTGTGGGCACATCCAATCCGCTCTCCATTTGGAGTGGGTACATCGCATGTATCCCACCCAGAGCTAAGGCTCAGACACGGTAGAATCCTGCCAACGTCTGCTGATGTGTGGCAACACGAGAGAACGCTCAATGTCAATTATATTATCGCAGAACCATAGGACGATCCACCGCTGGGTGGACATGCCTACTCACAGCCTGTGGTCGTAATGCCTTTCACCTTCTCTCTTCCCCCGGTATCACGGGTTTTTCCGAACCAAGTTCAGGAGGAAGGACTGGCAGCCCCTCTGTTCCAAGTGCATGAACGCATCATGGTTCCCAGGCCTTACGACTTTTGTTATCAGGGCACTCGTGAACCTGCCGTTGGAGGGAGGACGCTTCTCCCCAGGCGGTGAGAAACGATCAGGAATTAATCAGAATAGGCCAGCACCTATGTTTTTTGAACGTTGTGCGGTTCTTTTGGGAGGATGGATCTCTCAAGATGTAGTGCGTACGACTCAGGAGTCACGTGCTGCACCCACCACAGCGCTGTTCACACCAAGTGGTCTGTTTGATCAACGCTGCTGTATAGAAAGGCGTAGAGGCCACCTCATGTCCATTGGACGACATGCTGTCCTTCTGCAGCAGGCAAGGGACAAAAATCTGGTGTCCAGCACGACTATTGTATGCTGCCACCGTGTTTTCTTCCTGTCTCAAAGTTGTCGTAGACAGAACAACTTCTATCATCCTCTGATGGAGCAATTTGTCTCAGATTGATATAGCGGCTGTGGGCCTGTTGTGACACGGGAAACGCTCAGTGTCAATTACGCGCTTCTCTGAGCCCATGAGACGAACCACCTCTGGGGGTGGATGCGTTTGTTCACAGTCCATGGCCCAAAACGCTTCTGTATGCGTTTCTCTCCACCCCCTCCTATCTTACGGTTCTTGAACCGAGCTCAGGAGGAGGGATTGATAGTTCTCCTGGTGGCCCCGTGCGCGTGGGTGCACCATAGTTCCAGTCCTGAAACGTCTGCTGTCGGAGTGCCGTGGGAACTGCCATGGAGGGAGGATGCTCTCCTTCAAGCAGGAGGAGCGATCAGGAGTTACCCAGAAATAGGCCAGCACCTGTGGTCTGGCCGTTGAACAAATCCTCTTACAGAGGACGGGTTGCCCACAGGATGTAATGCGCACAATTCAGGCTTCACGTGTTGCATCTACCACAGCGATGTACACATCAAAGTGGACAGCTTTTTCAGTGCTGACGTACAGAGAAGGATGTAGAGGCCTCCTCATGTTCTTTAGGTGGCATGCTGTTCTTTCTGCAGCAGCTGATGGATAGATATCTGCATCCAGCACGTTTAAAACATACGCTGCAGCCATCTCTTCCTGACATGAAGGTTTCTGAGACAGAACAGGTTTTATCATCCTCTGATAAAACGTTTTCTAAAGGTGTACAGAGACGCAGGTCTGTCCCACACCCAATTGTTTCCAGTGGGATTTAATACTGGTCCTGCAGGTCATGATCAAAGCTTCATTTGAGCCTTTGGATCAGGTTCCACTTAAATTCTTGTCTCTTTAAACAGCACTGCTGCTGGTTTTAACACCAGCTAAGAGAGTGTGTTTTTATCTGCCTTCTTTGTCGCTCCGTCATATCTCAGAATCCAGGCTGACGGTAGTTAAGCTGATTTAAGACCAATCCAGCTTTTATGCCTAAAATCATCACAAGCTCTTTTAAATCAAGAGCGATATCGTTGGAGGGGTCCCCCCCCCCCTCACAGATCAGAAGAAGAAGCATCTCTTCATCTTCTCTGTCCGGTGCGGGCGTTGACGTGTTACATAGCGCGCACAGCTGCAATGCGTTTCAAACTCAACAATTGTTTGTGCATTATAGAGATGCATCTGCAGGTCGCCCGTTATCCATCCAGCGCTTGTCACACTGGCTGTGTGAGGCCTTTTCTGAAGCCTACAGAGCATCAGATTTAGGGCCTCCTGTCAACCTCAAAGCACACTCCACCAGGGGTATCGCATCTTCGACTGCTCTGCATTATGGTATGTCAATGCAGGACGTTTGAAATGCGGCTGCATGGTCATCACCCTGCTCATTTATTCGCTTTTACCTACGTGATGTAACGGCTCGTTCCATGACACATTCTGTCCTTAGTGCTCTAACAGAATGAATATTGTTGTTCTCATGGAACTCGGTTTAAGCTCACTTCTGTCTGCATGCATTACAGTGTGAGATGTTGTTATCAGTCACAGTCGTGTCTGTGATTTTGGTTTTATTGTCACTAATCAGTTCATGACTATTGTTACCAATCAGTTCATTTGATCAATAATCAATTCATGGACATTAATCTGTTTATACTGTTCAACCATGAACCAGTTGGTTCATGCCCCCCCCCCCCCCCCCTTTTCAACTTCTTCTTCCCGTTGAAAGTTTTTCCGGGGCATTCATGCTTTGTCAGAACGCATAGTTACTCAACATGCGTCTGTGCATGGCACATAATTACGCGATGCGTAGTTATGCACATGGGGAGCTGAGTGACAAGACGTTTTTTGGGCAAGCTTCCGCTTCTTACTGTGTTCGAATGGACCCAGTGAGGCGAGGACCACATCGGCTTCGCCCTTTACCCACTAAAGCGAAGGCCTTAAAGGGCGAAGCTTATATGACATAGAACGTTGGTTACGTACTGTAACCCCAGATTCTATGAATATAAGCGTAGCCCTTTAAGCGTCGGGCCTCACTGGCTCCTAAATGGCTGAAGAAAAAAGCTATTTTGGGAGCCGATTTCCCGCTCTTAACGTAATTTATACGGACCGGGTGGGGCCCACACAGCAGGTGGGCGTGGACTAATTTTTTCAGTGCTTATGCTCTGCATAACGGGATAAACCCACTAAAGCGAAGGCCTTAAAGGGCTACGCTTATATTCATAGAATCTGGGGTTACAGTACGTAACCAACGTTCTTCATATTTAATATCAAATCACACACACACACACAGTACACTGATTTAAACACACAGTGACACCTTTCATCAGTAAGAGGATTTGTTTCAGACATACACAAATTTTTAAAACTCCACTTTATTTTTGCTGTTTTGGTTTTTCAAGGCCTCTCCAGTGAATCCTGAGATTCAGGTTAGTTAATAAAAAGGAAACGTTGAACTTTACATCCTGGAGAGGATAACTGACATCCTATTCAGCCATAAGACTTATTCCCTTAGATACTTGCTGATTTTCATTTATTTACATGAGTTGTGCACTTTTTTCTACACATTTATTTACATGTTTTTGTCTTGTTTACTTGTTTTAGGGTGTACACAACTGACTTTTTTTCTGTTTTATCGTTTTAAAAACTTTCTATCATCTCATTTTGTTATGCCACCTCTACATTTGCGATAATGCAACACAAGTAGTAGGCCTGTCGCAATAAGCAATAAATTGCACGATAAATGAAAATTATTGACCTCATTTTCATTTTTCGGCTTTATCGTTTCTTCGGGTCTCTCTCTTTCTACTGGAGACACTGGATGAGAAAAAGCTCAACTCCGGTGCTCTTCACTGGTCCATCCCTTTCTCTTTAAAATCCATTTTAACTGTCCAAAATCGCATTTTTGGATCGTTAAAAGCAGTTAAGCTAACAGGCCCACCTCGGGGGGGCAAAACGTCCGTCTTGTCGAAGCTCCAAAATTCACGGTTGAAACCCGTGCCTTCACCTAAAAAGTTGTTTTTTCTCTGCAGAAAAAAGCTGAGAACTTGTTTACTGATTTTTTTTTAATTAAAAGCTTTGTTTGAAAAATGATATGACAAAGAGCTCAAACCAAACCAAGCGTCCGCCATTTTGAGAACCAAAGAGAGACAGCCCATGTCACATCAAGGGGCCTCCCTCCCATTTATCTTAAAGAGACACGCTGCTCGCTCCCTCACTATCCAGCCTTGGGTTCAAACTGTCTTATACTGCCATCCAGTGGTCAAAAAAGGTACTACATTCAAAATAAATCATTATTTCTTCTTAAATTTGACAATAATTACTAATTTTTGTCAAATTTCAAACAATATTAACGTTTATCGCAATAATTTCTGAGACGAGTCGCCCAGCAAAATTTGTTATCGTGACAGGCCTAGTGTTTATATCGTTCCCGTGCTTATTTCTGTTGATGTGTGGAAATAAGAAGAGACTGATAAACTAGAGGTGCACCGATTGCAGTTGTCTGGCCGATCACGATCTCTAAAAAGTCCGACCTGCTGATTCCGATTTTGGCCGATACCGATCTTGTTTTCTAAGCGACGCTGTCAGGTATTATAAGTTCACAATGCACCTCCAATTTTCCAGTCTTATTTTATTGAAAGCATACCCTTGAACATTATCCTAGAAACAATACAAACTTGTTTTAACTGGCCACGAGGTAGTGCTCTGAAAGATAAATGAAGTTCAGACAATTGTTGTTAAAACTAAAAACAATAATCGGTAAAATCGGTTTCTCATGCAAGCATCCGATTTCCCAATATTAAAGAAATCGGGGCCGATAAATTGGCCGATTTATCGGTGCACCCCTAAACACAAGTGACAAACTGTAATTACAGGTGTGGCTTAAATGTAGTCTTGTCATTTGTCAAAGCCCTGGCCTGAATTTTGATTGAAATCAATGATAAAGTGTTTCTCATTTATACACAGTTTACACTGTGTGCTCTAAAAACACAACAATACACGTTTTCCTTCTAAGTTTTGTCCTGAATGTTCAACAATATTTATTCTCATCTGATGCTCTTGCACCTTCACCCCTACCCACCAAAACAGGTTACGGTTACATTCCTCCTTTTACAACCACACTCTTTGATATTTGTTTCTCACTCTTGTAAACTTGTCAAAACGCACACACATGCACGCTCACACACCTGACCTTCAGTCAAGATGCCAAAGCTATAATGACCTTAAATGCAGCGTGTGCACTTATAGGTTGATATAGGATAAAAAAAAATCTAAACAACCAAGCTAAGTGATATTAGTTAGTGAGGAACATGTAAGGACTTGTAAGCTGAGAACTGCAAACTGGTTCCTCCCTGCTGTTTCATAAAAGAGCTGTGAAGAGAAACTCACCGTGTGTGTGGCAGAGGGATCGGTAACGAGATACATAGGAAGGGATCAAAGGTGTTGCTCTGTTTTTGACAATGTGGGCAGGTAAGAGAAGACCTGCCGGGGAAGACATTAAATCTATTATTATCTGATCGAGAGCAAGCGGCCAAACCCTGAGCACCTGAGTCCTACCTGTACTGAGCCTGAAAGAGTTCCTGGACAAAAGACCCAGCAGAGAGGGGAGGAGATGGTCCCTCTATGCTTCGGTCCTCTTCTTCAACAGGTGGCTGACAACAAGACAAGAGGTTTAATTCAGATCATTATATATGATAACAACTTTGGTCTTTTGAGTTCTATTATAAAAGCAGCAACGCCTTCATGTGCGTCAGTGTTGAGGGAAAACAAGGACCAAGTTTATTAGCATCGCTTTCATGATTTTACACTTTGGAGAAGAGAAAAAAAAAGTTCAAAAGCTAAATTTTAGCCACCGTCTTTATTCCTCTATGGATTCACCTTCATGGCAGGCCTGCTGTTGAGGTTCGTAGTGTTCAGGTCCTCGTGCACTCTGTCCAGCAGCCACAGCAGAAACTCCTGAGCATCGTGCTGAGCGTTGCCTTTAAACTGGGTGGCGTTTTTTGACACAACATTCTGCGGAAAAGAAAAACTTTATTCAGTAGAACAGCTTCTGACACAACCTCTAATTTAGTCACCTTCAGATATCGCAGAATAAATTGGAGTTAATAACATATTTAAGTCTGTCAGTATCTTTAGTTTTAATCTTAGCTTACAGCAGAACTGTTTGAAGTGTGCACCTACAAGATGATTCAAACAATTCTAGCTCTTTCTTGTGTACTTTTAAACACACATAAAATAAAAAAGTAGCTACTCAGCTTTGTGCAAATTGTACAGCAGTGTGCAAGCGTTTGAAACCATATTGGATTCATTTCTTTACATGTTGCTTTCAAAGAGTCATACTTCCTTATAATCACAAAGGGATGATCAATATTTTCCCAGGTTTTAGTTTCTATCTAGTCTGCGCAGCTGATCATGAGAGAATATGGTGCAGTCTGTGCTTAAAATGAGGACAATGGACAAATGAAGGGCAATAGAAGTGTCCGGCCTTAAAATAAACTATCTACATAAAATTAACATTTAAAAATCTCAAGATAATGGGAAAAATATGAACACAGAATCTGAGAGATGCATCATATTTTCATACTGCAAGGGTGTCAAACTCACTTACAAAAGGGGCTCAAATTAAACCCTTTTTCAAACTAAGGGTCAGTTTCAGAATCTACATTAACAAACGTTAGATCTTTTCTTGGTTGCAGGTTCCTCAAAAAGAGTTTGATTGGTCTCATTTGTTGTTCTCTGTTGCACTTTTGACATCATAATCAAAGATGACTGAAAATATTCAAGTGAAAAAAGTATTTTTACATTTAACATATCATCTTGGGGGGCCAGATAAGATGTCAGCGAGGGCCACGTTTGGCCCCCGGACCTTGAGTTTGACACATGCGATCTACTGAATGCTGAGTTTTGCAGAAAATATCTGTGAAAATTGTCACGTCGGTGCTAAAATAATATTCTCTGTTCATCAAAATGTGTTTATCTTTGGTATCTTTTCACAGATTCCACTAAGGAAGCAAGAAGAAATTGACTCTTTTGAGACAGGCTGCTTAAAAAGTGCATAAACATCAGATTTATGTCCTATCTTTTAGGAGCCTTTGTGTGTATAAATGTGTGAAAGTGGCTCAGCTGACTGAAAATTACTGAAGTCCGTCCGTTTCCAATTTTCTGAAACCCTGGAGAAAAGGTGCTTACGACCACTTTATTACAGGAGAGTCAAGCTTTTTGGAAGCAACACATAAAGAAATGAGATTTTTTTTGTTATGCACGGACATTCAAGATTGTATCTGGTCACAAACCACCAATCATTTTGCAGATCTACAGCGTGCCTTCAAATCTAATCCTAATTTCAAAGTTTACCTTGAAGTCTCTGCTGTGCTGAGGTGTATACTCAAATGTCCACAAAGCCCTCACAAGTCCTGACAGTTGCTCGGTCACTTCTCCTTTGCCCAGAGGCCCCTTCTTCTGCAGATGCACACAGTTTGTCTTTGGCTGGTTGTCCTCACCCTGCTCCTCGTCTTTATACTGCTCCAAAACCAGGTACTCTGCGAACAGCTCGGTGTTGCTGAGACACTGCAGGATCGCGTTCATAAAGCAGGTATTCCCGTGGTTTTTCAGCCCCGACACCCCGGGGACCCTCTCTCCGGACAGGAACCCTCCCAGATCCCCATCCTCCATGGGAACATCTTTGTTTCCAGATCTAAAAGTGGAGAAGCCTCCATCGTCCTTGTCGTCCTCGGTCTGGACTTCAGATCCAAAGTGTGATAAGGCTGTCAGCGTCCTCAGGACTCTGCTCATGAAACTGCCCACGGATCGGACAGAGCCTCGTCTGAACAGCTTCTTACTGAAGCTCGACTTCTTGTCCTTGGTTGCGGCTTTGCAAGACATGATGGTTTCCCTTTTCACTCCGGCAGATGCTGAACGACCTCCTCGCCGTCTGTCCGCTGCTCCATCTCAAAGCAACAATAACGCTAACTGGTTAAAGTTGCCTGCAGAAAACACCGACTGAGTGTGCTAACTGGCCTTAACCGTGCACACAAATAACATTTCGGCTCAGTTGTGTCGTCCTAAACCCGCACAGCATGTTTGCTTCCGAGTTACCTTGTTAGTTTTGCGGTTTTCTGCTCCGCAGCAACGCTGAAGTAAAAACAGCAGCGTTAGCTAATTTGGCCGAGGCTCCAGCACGAGCAACAAAAACAGTCACAGTCCCTTCCGGTCGCGAGACAAAAGTCCAGCCGCGTCTGATATTTCTCCATGGTGTACAGGCAATGATGGTCAAAAAACAAAAAGCAATACGTGAAAAAGTAATGTCCTCACATTTCAAGTAATCTGTTCAGGGCATTCTGGACCAGCTTGATTTACTTCGCTTTGTTTGAGCGGCGCTCATCTCTGTTTATAACTCAGTACCGCCTCCTGCCGGACCGGGGTGGAAACTACAGCCGGACTGGGAGAAAGAAGCGCTCGAGTTTTTTTCAATGACAAAAAATATTTTAAGAAAAAAAAAAAGAAAGAAATTTAATAAATGTTGCATTTTCAGAAGCAACATTAAAGAAATCCTGCAGTATCTTTAATATCCATAGATTCTCAGCAATATGAACAAGTTTGCTGATTATATTGTGAATTATTCTCAGCCACAACCACAATCTGTAAAAATGGACCGAGTTATAGCTATTTCTGTATTTTATAACATCAGCTGGCTGTGGTGTAGATATTGAATCGGACTGTCTTCAAAAGTCAATCTGATGAGGAGGTCTAATGATCATCTCATGAAAGTTGCATGTATTAAGTTTGGGATCACTTCAGTGGTGTAGTCTACATTTTTGTAGTGGATACCGCGATAAAGTTCTTTTTACATTGGACACCGCTGAAGCCATGGAGCGCGAACGTCCAACGTAAAACTAACTTTACCACAGTCGGTCCAAATACTGGGGCAGCACGGTGGCACAACCGGTAGAGCTGCTGCCTCTCAGCGAGCAGGTCCTTGGTTCAAACCCCGGTCCAGGGGCCTTTCTGGGTGGAGTTTGCATGTTCTCTCCGTGCCTGCGTGGGTTTTCTCTGGGTACTCCGGTTTCCTCCCACAGACCAAAAACATGCATGTTAGGCTGGGCTGATTGGTAACTCTAAATTGTCCCTAGGTGTGAGTGAGAGAGTGAAAGGTTGTCTCGTTTGTCTCTATGTGGCCCTGTGATGGACTTGCGACCCGTCCAGGGTGTACCCCGCCCCTCGCACAGTGATTGCTGGACATGGGCACCGGCGACCCCCGTGACCCAAAATGGAATAAGTGGATAAAGATAATGGATGGATGGATGGGTCCGAATACTGTGCTTAGAAACCAAAGTACACTGGTTAATAGAATGTAATCATCAATTTATTTTGATGTGTACACATATTGAACATTTCCAAATTTCTCTGATGCTTATATTTTAATAAATGGTCAACAAACTGTACAACAGTTGGATTTGTATTAAAACATGTTATTGAATTTATAACATGGTAAGAAAGCAAAACATGTTCAAGTATTAAGAAGTATTAATTATACAGTAATTCGTTGGATAAGCGAATGTAATAAACAAGCACCGCATACAGATAGATTGTTATGGAAGTATTAACTGCCGTTTAATGTATCATTGACACATGTCTCATGCCATGTATCATTGGGTATTTAAGTGGGTATACTGAAATTTTTCTAGTGGGTATATTCCGTATGCCCGTGTATCACATAGACTACACCACTGGATCAATCTCAGCTGTTACCACATCAAATTTCAGTTAAAACCACCTTTCTATTTACTAATATTGCTTTGCCATCTTGTTTTGAGTTGACTCCAAAAGCTAATCAGTAGTAGAACTCTACCCAACAATTATTTTCTGAGAGTTTCATTGAATTCTGTTCAGTGATACAGTACAGACAAACAATCGCACAAACGCACACTGACATGCGCAAAAAATATAGCTTCAATTTTCAGCACCAGGTGATAATGATGACAACAGAATTCATAAATTGCATCACTGATGGCAGTGAGAACTGGGCTCACTATTATTCATCCATTCAACCTTTATTTATACAGGTTGATCCCATTGAGCCTCGGGGACTCATTTACAAGAAACACATGATTTTAAGAAAGAGTGATGACAACAGTCGACAACAATAGATAATCATAAAGGATGTGTACAAATTTAATTTTTTTTTTTTTTTACCAAATGAAAATAATTAAAAGGGTAATTAAAAGGTTTAAATGTAGGGGCTACGCTTGAGAGGTCTGGACACCTTGTAACAGGTGTTTACGCTAACCGTTCAAAGTTATGTAATAAATGTTGACCGACCTCAATCATAGAATGTGAGTCCTCTGCAATGTTTTTATTCCCCTCGCTCGAACAAAGACACAACAATCTAGTCAAAATCGCAATTCTGTAACGTTTATTTACAGTTTGAATAATGACAATATGAAATTATGGCAAATATGAAATTTGAATGAATAACCAAATATTGTTATTTCAAAAAAGGGTAAATAATATTAAATAGCTTAAAACTTTGAGAAGAGGTGTATTCAATTTGGACTAAAGTTTTAGCTCTAACGTTGAAATTCAGGTAAGCTTTATCTCAGATTCGTGAACTTATTATACATGTCTAAAAATAACTCGAGTTGGAACTTGTTGTTCTCATCAGAAGAAAGATGTTTTGTCCTGCCAGGAAAGTTTTCCATCTCATGACCACAGTGGATACGAGGTGAAAGCCAGTGGCCGTCCGTTCCAAGAAGGGATGTCTTTCCTCAGGACTGTGTTTCGTTCGGCAAGACAGCATCGCTCCGGGGTGTCTGAGCAAGTTATGGACGTCTCTCCATTTCTCAGGTGACTGGGCCCCGTCTGAGATGGAACTTCTGGCTGGTTCAGAACTCTCATAACTAATTAATTATCCGACAATGGATAATTAAAAAGAAAAGTAACAAAAAAACTGTAAGCTGAAGCTGGCAGACGTCCTGGTGGAGAGTTGCATCTGAGGGTTGTCGGTCAATTACCTTGTAATGTTTGATTTAGTTACATTTCATTTATTGTTTGTTCATATAAGGACACAAGTTCAGTAATAACAATTATGGTTTAAATGAAGATCATTTAACACAATGAGCAATTTAACATGTTGGGAAAATACAGTGTTTATATTTTAAGTTAAAAATGCATCAGTCTAAGCTTGCAAACAAGTTGAAATTTTAGTATTATTCAAGGCAAATAAATAAATGGTCATATTTTCAATTCAACATTTTCAGAGAATGGTTTCATGAACAAGGCAGCACGGTGGCACAACTGGTAGAGCTGCTGCCTCTCAGTGAGTAGGTCCTTGGTTCAAACCCCGGTCCAGGGGCCTTTCTGGGTGGAGTTTGCATGTTCTCTCTCCGTGCATGCGTGGGTTTTCTCCGGGTGCTCCGGTTTCCTCCCACAGACCAAAAACATGCATGTTAGGCTGATTGTTAACTCTAAATTGTCCCTAGGTGTGAGTGAGAGAGTGAATGGTTGTTTGTCTCGTTTGTCTCTATGTGTCCCTGTGATGGACTTGCGACCCATCCAGGGTGTACCCTGCCCCTCGCACAGTGATTGCTGGACATGGGCACCAGCGACCCCCGTGACCCAAAATGGAATAAGCGGGTAAAGATAATGGATGGATGGATGGTTTCATGAACAAACTATTTCAGTTCTTTCCTCTGCCTGAAGGAGGCACAACACGCCTGGGAAAAGAAACTAAAACTTTTCTAATATCTCCACAGTTTCCCAGTTCATTAGATCTGAGTGTGTTTTTGATTTTGGTATGCTAATTGAAACCTAAGCATCATGACATCCATCATAAAAAAAAATAAAAATAAAAAAGAAGGCTTCTTTTATTATCATGCTGCTCTGTAGCCAACAATACAGTTTTTACATTGTTGCCATGTATTGTTTGTTTTTCAGACATTATTTGCAGTAAGGGTTGAATAGATATAGACACCGGTTTGCTAATAAAACATTCCATATTTTAATTAGAAAAAAACGGATTCACAAACGATCAGGTGTACTTCATCAAATCTTTAATTTGCCAACAAATGAGACAACAGTCAGTTTAGAAGGTCAAAACATCTCCTGCCCATTCTGCTGCCATTAGTTCAGAGCTGAGCCGTCTCTGGCTTCCTGACCATTTCCCCCTTCTCCGTGAGTCATCCGGAACGAAGCGAGCCAAACCTGAGCAGGTACATTTTATTGTTAATAAATAGAAATTATAAAAATTGGAATCAGATTTGTGCCGACCTTGTTGCTTCCACCTGACCCTTGTGATGAGCAGAGTGTTTGTCTGAATTTAACAGTAATGGAACCTGAGTGGGTTGTGAACAAGGTGCTTGAAAGCATCGCGCAGCCTTGGACCTCCACTTTAATTTCTAAGGTAATTTGATTAAAATCAAGATAAGCAAAGGACGAAGGTTGTGTGTTCAGAACTCACACCACTGAGTACAGTAGATGTTGTAATATTATAAAATGTCGTTGACCTTTATCAAACTCGTTTTCTCGTAAGAAAAGCAATGTTGGAAGACGAATCAAAACTTACATAGAGCGAAAACAAGAATTTTACTTGATGGACTAGATCAGGCGTTCCCAAACTTTTCCATGCCATGCAACACCCCCCCCCCCCCCCCCCCCCCAAACAGCATTAGCTTCTGGCCGAGGGGCCCCTCAAAAACCCACAAATGCTACAAAATATGTAAATAAACATCAACTTTTAGAATGTTTTAACGTTTATTCACTAAACTCAATTAATTATTACAGCTGCTGAGCATAAAAATGTTGTTCGCGAACATGCTTTAAACACTGTATTATATTCCAGCTGAAAAAAAAACCCTACTTTTCAACAAACTGTTGAGCAGAAGAACAAAACTAAATAAATCTAACCTCTCTCAAGCATGTTCATCTGGAAATGACAGATACAGATTGCCCTAGAGGCAATTATTATTATTATTATCATTTTTTTATTTTTGCTTTTTTTTTTATCTTCTTCTCTCCAGCTTTCTGGGGCCCAAATAGCGCCCTCTGGCGGCCCCCCAGAGGGCCGCGACCCCCACTTTGGAAAACATTGGACTAAATCACTAAATGCACTAAATGCATAGTTCCTGTTAAGACTTCATTATGCTGAATAGAATAGAATAGAATAGAATAGAATAGACCTTTACTGTTATTGCACCAAAGTACAACAACATTTGGGTTCACTTCCCAAAGCATTATATCTTCTTCTTTCGGCTGCTCCCTTCTTCAGGGGTCGCCACAGCGAATTAACTCATGCAAAGAATGCCCTTCCTCACATCCACCACCGAGCTACCACAGCCCTCTGTGTGGAGCAGAGAGCTGCCATCTAGGACACCTCAGGGAGCAGATGGTGGGGGTTAAGGGCCTTGCTCAAGGGCCCAGAGTGCGGCAAATGAGGGTGGAGGCAGGTGTGGATGATTCACTTTTGCACACACATTTTTGATGTTGTTGGTCTGGGGAGTCAAACCGGCGACCTTCCGATCGCTGACCCACCTTCTCTAACCGCTTCACCACCACTCCCCACAAATATGAACTGTATAAAACATAATACTAATTACAGGTTTCAAACATCCCAATTGTGCAACACAAGCACACTGATATTATCGGTCTCTTATTGCACCTATTCAGTTGTTACTACAGTTCTTGTTAAGTTCAGTAACGACAGATAAAAATCATTTTTTTATCTCTTTGTTCTTGCCTTGAATTGTTTTTCCTGATGGTAGCAGTTCAAACATGTCATGGTGAGACGTGTCCTTTATACTGGAGCTGTGCAGATCTTCCAGTGAGTATTTCTCCAATTATGACTCAAGAAAGTCTTTTTTTTTTTGGTTTTTATGAACAAATCCTTCGCCTGCTATTTGCCGTCAACACTGGAACCAGCTGGGGATGTTCTGTAATGACGTGTCCATGGAAACAAGGCAAACGGTCACGTGTCTTATCAATCAACACCACCTTATCTCGCACAGCATTTTTAAAATCAAGCTTTTCAAAAGCAGAAAGTCCTTTTTTTTTTTTTTTTTACCTTATTAGTGCATTTGATAAAGCAATAAATCTCTGATTCATGTGTTGTTGACCTTGTCTCATCTCTGCAGACAGACATAAAAAAGACCTCTCTGACTGAAGTAATTATACCATGAAGGATTAGTTTTTAATAAAGTTTTTTTTTACATAATTCAGTTTTCAGCTGCCATAACTTTAAAACTATTTTTTTTAACTCGTTTACAGCAGCTATTTAATACAGCACACTGTGTTATTTCCTCTCAAAATAAATAAGTTATTATTTAACGAGATCCGGACCTTGTAAATAAATTTCGCTCACTTGAGTTTTATATTTCAAGATGAGTTTTGAGTTTGTGATGATGAATTTCTACGAGGTGATGCCTTCCTGCACCTTCTGACCATGTGTGAAATCATTTTTAGAGAAGCGTTTATCTTATCTGCAGCATATCATTAATGCCCTTATGTCTATTTAAAGCTTCTGTGCACATGCCCTTCCATTTATGTATGTTAATGAGCAAATGGGAGAAAAGGTTGTTAAGATATTCAAAATATCTCATTATTTGAAACCTTTAATGAGGCTGAGAACAAAACAGGTGTCAATGTCCGCAATGTATAAGCAAAAAAACATAAATGGCTAGTTTAACTTTAAGAAATGATAAATATATATCCTTGTTTATGATTGTTAATATTATTTCTAGAATCGAATGAGGCACCATCCCTCTTGTTTGTTACTTTTTGGGCCAGGTTGATTAAAATAAGAATGTTTTTATTTATTTATTTTTAAAGTAGGAGCTAATTAGGCAAATGAAATGAAAAAAAAAAAAAAAACACTAATCACATTTTGATTGACAGCTTAACTTGCTTCTGCCGTGGTGAGGATTTTTCTCCGCGACATCCCTCAGCAACAGTCAAATGATGCCTTCAGGTACACTCCGTTAATTCCAATGTTATGATGAACTCAGAGGAATAGGGTATAAAAACGAACGCGCATATAAAAATAGCTATGTTCACACCTGGAATTGGGTTTAACATGTTTTATGATAAAAATAAAACTTAATTTTAGAAACAAAAGTTTCGTCATAGGATTCTAATATTTCAAAAAGGCGATTGAATGATAATGAATTTAAATTAAATCAAAAAGTAAAAATGCTCTCATACTCTTTCGCAGGGCCATGTGGTTTAAATGGTGCATGTTTTTATGAAAAGTAATTTCTGATCTCTACTGTAGTTTATGGAAGTCTATTTCTGCCACTCTGATAAAAATAAATTATTAAACTTGTATCACTGTCATATTTATAAGAATATGAATTTACATAATTATAAGATACTGTTTCAAAAGTACAACTTGACATCTCAAAATGATGACTTAGTATCTCATAAATATGGTAGTATTTCATAGTTATGACTTAGCATTTAATGTTTATTTCATATCATCTCATAATTATAACTCAGCATGTGATTTAGCATCTTATCTAATCACATGTATAAAAATGACTTAACATTTCAATTTTTGACTTAGTATATCATAACTTTGATGTGGCATTTCAAAGTTGTGACCTTGCATCTTGTAAGTGTGACTTAGCGTGTCAAAATTATAACCGAGTCTCTAACAGTTATGACGTAGCATCTCAATATTATGATTTGGCATCTTGAAATTCTATCTTAGCATATTTTTTTTGACTTAGCATCTGAAAATAATTTAACACATAATCATTGGATGCTAGTCATCATTTTGAGATAGTGTAGTATGAGATAGTTTTTTGTGACAGAGTCTGATCATTTTAATTTAGAATTTGTTTGTTTTTTTCTTCAGGCTAGTGGAAATGGGCTTCCATGCTAAAGCCAAATGTGAAAATTAAAAATATCCCTTTAATATATTACATTTTCTTTAATATATTTCATACGTCCATATGCTCTTTGTGAACTTCACATCTGCCTTCAACACCATGATTCCCCAAATCCTGATGGACAAACTAATCACATTAATACTAAGTTCCTCTCTGTGCAACTGGGTCCTAAACTTATTAACAAAGAGACCACAATTTGTGAAGATCCACGACTTCTCCTCCTCCACCATAACCCTCAGCACGGGCTCCCCCCAGGGCTGTGTGTTGAGCCCCCTCCTGTTCACTCTGCTAACATATGACTGTGCACCGACCCATCCAGGATGTCATATTGTAAAGTTTGCAGATGATAGAGCAGTGGTTGGATGCATCAAATACAATGATGAGTCCAGCTACAGGCAGGAGGTGGAACACCTGGAGAGCTGGTGCAGGAAGAACAACCTTCACATCAATGTGAAGAAGTCAAAGGACATGGTTGTGGACTAGTGGTGGTCTCCAGCACAACCTCAGCTGGGGCAACAGCACCACCGGCCTGATTGAGAAAGCTCATCAGAGACTTCCTCAGATGGCTGAGAAGAGCTGGACTGGGAAGCTCAGTCCTCACCTCCTTCTACAGGTGTGCAGTGGAGAGCATCCTGTGCTCCAGCATCAACGTGTGGCGTGGAGGCTGCACAGCTGCAGAAAGAAAAGCTTTGCAGAGAGTGGTGAAGGCTGCACAGAAGAGGTTGGAGTCAGCCTCCCACCATCACAGACATCTACACCTCTAGATGCAGGAAGAGGGCCACTTGCATCATGAAGGACCTCACACACCCAGCAGACACTTTTTGCCCCACTCCCTTCAGGAAGGAGGTTAAGGAGCATTAAGTGTAGAACGACTAGACTGAGGAACAGCTTCTACCCTGAGGCTGTTAGACTCATGAATCTCAAAATCACTGTGAAAATTATTGTGAAAAAAGTCACTGTAATGCCACTTGGTTGTTATGTGCTGCTGACTATCCATGCTGCTGATCTCATGCTGCTGATTTCATGTTGCTGTGTTCATTTGTCCTCATCTGCTCACACAGACTCATGTTCGTGCTGCTGTTGTTTGACACATTGTTTTTATACTATTAGTGCTTATTCTTAGTTTATTGTACTCTTAGTTTAGTGAATATAGTAGTTGTTGTCTCGGATCGTACTATTGTTTTTCTTTACAATTTGTATTTTTGTTGGATGTAAATGGGACCCTGTGTACACAACTTTGTTCCACCTCATGTACCGCATGTGATGTGAATGACAATTAAAAAAAAAATTCTTGAAACCTTAAATCCTTAATAAAGTCTAATCCTATCAACATGCAAAGGTTAAAAAAGAGCTGCAGGCATTAACAGTCTGTTTTAACATGGGATACAAAAAAGTATGTAAAGAAAAGCAAGTATACTAAAAAATATTTGTCTGCAAAAAAAAAGGTTTCAGCATAAAGCAGTCAAAGATATCTGCGCTTCTAACGGTTTTATTTGATGGCGGGAAAAGCGTAATTCTGTAATCACCGACAGTTGTGAGGGGCAGTGAAGTATCACAGGACTTCCTATGACCATATTTGGGCGATTGTCGGGTGAGCGGAGGGGAAGCGTTTGGAGGGGCTAATATGAGCTTTTGTCTCTCGTCTGTCTTAAGTAAAAGATCCAAACGTTGTTGTTGTTTTTTTAATAAGTTGTCTGCGTCACGTTCACAGCGAGGAGCGGCGTCCTGCTGCACAGATCAGAGCTTTGATTCAGGGAACTCTGACACGCAGCAGCAAAAACATTTCATACTGGAAAACTGTCTGGAGACGCAGGTAAGATGGATTTTTATCATTTCACAGCATGGAAATGCATATGTAGCAAGAATATACACCTGTCGTGCAGTTCATACTGTAAATGCAAAGCATTTTCATTTGGCACCTGTTGATTTGAATTTTCTGGAGTTGAAATAATTTCAATTAAGATTTTTTTTTTTTTTTTTTTTTTAGGGGGAGGATGACAAAGTTGATGCACTGATATAATATTTGGGATATGATGACAGATGATGAGGCTCATGGGTTTTTATAATACAGGACAAACTGGGAGAAGAAATGTATAAATAAATTGCATATCTCTGTAATGTGGCCAGAAGTTTCCAGCTGTGTTCAACAAACATCTTGCATTTTTAGAATGGAAGCCTGAGCAGAAGGTTCTGACTGACACAGACTGAAGAAAAAAAAGCTGCACATGAATGCATCCTGCAGAAAAAGTCTCTAAGACAGATCAGGCTGCAAGTCCTTATTAGAGGTGTCATTTGAAATGAATAATTGTAAACGACTCATAATCAAAATCAGGATGTAGAATAGTGTGAAAGATGTTTATTTGACTTCTGGTCCTGATTATAAAACATGTTTGAGTTCACTTTTGTTGGCTCGTTTTAGAAACGGCACTTGGGAAAGCCTGTGGGGGTCTTTTTGTCTCTCACACACACACACAAACACACACACACAAACACACACAACCATCTCAGCTCAAACTCTCTTTTCCCCTAGTGACAGCCACGGCTGTTCGGTGCTTTTAATTTACCTGTGCTGCCTGTATTGACAATGATTATATGTTCAGCTGATTAAAAGGGTAATAAAACGTGCTGTGTTCCATAATTCATCAAGTAAATGAAACCACAAGCCAATAAAAAAATAAGCTCTGGTTTGTGCAGAACATTATTATGAATGTCTATATATATATTCAGCAAATCATCCCTGCCCCACAAATGCCTGTGTGGCTTTGCTCGTGTTTTTTTTAAGTAGCAGATGCAGGTCAGCTCAGTTAGTCATGATGCATTCACTAATTAATCATTACCACATAGAGTAAATCTAGTCAGATTTTTAAAAAAATCATCTGTTTTAGAGATGCTGTACAACTTACATGACAGGACTTCGGAGCATCGTATTGTTGCATCTTTGCAGATGCAGACTGATGTTTCTGTGTAAACTCTGGGTTTTATTGCTTTTTTGCAGAAAGACTCAATGGCAGCTATTTTTGACAGCAGCTGTACTTCTGGAGTGTTATCAGCATGACAAAGGATTTATTATCTGTGTAATAATTAGCAGGAATGTGTGCCATTGTACAAGTTTTACAATCTGTCTGCAACTGTCAGTGGTGTATTTATATATATACATATATATTTTCGCAGCTTGGCTCTGCAGGAGACGCTCTTTTACAAAAGCTTTCAAGTCTAGGGATATTCTCCAGCAATCAATTCTGAAGCCAAAGTGCCTGTCATGAGTCTGAACAATATAAGCTACTGGGAACAAAACTGTGTTTTTAGCTGGATTATAGATTTTGTGTGATCCACGGGCACATCTAGTATAGATCCCAATCATGTCTACACATTTTTTTTACACCACTCCCCTCGGAAAGCTCTTTAAAGATTTGACTCAGACCTGACAGCTTGATCTATTTAGCCAACGTTTCCCTAAGGGCTTGCCACATAATAACATTAATGCTCAATGATCAGGCTCCGCTCTGTCTTAAAGCTCATCGGGAAGTATCAGCTGCACTGCAAGATAATCTTTTTTAGTTGATGATATGATTTAAATGCACGTGCCTTCTGGATGGGGTGCTAAACTTGGTTTGGAGAAAAGTAGAAGTCTTAATTGCAAGTCTTTTGTCTACATCTGTATAAATCGATGTTCTCAATACAAACTTGGGAATGATTGAATTTTATACCACGGCTCTAATGATGATGATTAATAAAATCCACTCAAGGACGAGTGTTTTTTTTTGTGGTTCTTTAAAATGCACAAGCACACAAACCTTGATAAATTGCCGCTATGTGTGTAACTTGTACATGAGAAAAAATGCAAGAATAAGAACCATTTTCAGGACTGATGGCCATAAAGAAGTTTTACTGGCAGATTAGAAAGCCATGCAGGTGAGGGTGTATTTTATACCTTTGACCTGTGTTGACTGTTAAACCCGTCATTATGACCCCTTCATTTGGGTGAACACATTATACCATCAACGGTGGGCTTTTTTTCCCAGCCTTTGTAGAATTTACCTGTATTTACCCGCTCCTTTTCCTCCGTGGTTACCATAGAGACACCATCCCTATCAGCAAGTCGACTTTGGCTGCAGGGCTCATTGGCTCTCGCAGGAGAGACTCTGGTAAGCAAGTGTCTCCCTGGCATGACTTCGGCACCAGTATAGCGAGAAAGGCATTTACTTAGCTTTGACAGTGTTTCCTTGGCAGCCCGTGCCCCAACGATGGCGGCCCGTCGGCCCGTTTTGTCACTACGATTTGACGACAGAGACAGTGTGAAATCCAGCTGGGAGAAATCCACCCCTGTAATTGAAATGAGTTCACCTGGGAGACAGCTGCACTGCGGCGCCCGTTAGCTGTCACAGTCCGTGCTCACCAGTCTGCACGCATGTTGGTGGCAATGATAGAACCCCTGAGCAGGTATTACCCGACCCGAGACGCCTTTTGTTTGAAGTTGGGAGGGAAAAAGACGAGCGAACGTGCTTTGGGTTTTCCAGACGCATGGCCTTTAAGGATGTCAAGAACAGAGCGGTAAATAGGAGTCGCTCGATGGAACATGAAACATTGACTAGTTGTTCACCTGCAGTGATAAAAAAAATCCTCACAAACAGAGCTGCAACACAACTCGATGGTGCTCACCCCTGGGGGCAGTTTAATGCCCACTCGCTCTGATTTTGAACCATAATTGCTGACGACTATGTGGGAATTTGTGTGCGAATGCCCTTTAATATTACAATCTCAAGTGGGACTTTCTAATTAGGTTAGCTGATCTGCTAATAAGTTGGTTTACCAGAACGCACAGCCCTTAGGACTGGACACACTCTTGTTTTATTGTTATTTGAAAACCACATTTAATTAAACAAAATGCTCATAATGGTTATTTGTGCACATCTTAGGCTGTTTAGTTTATACATTTTACTTCACTTGTGTAAATAAAAAAGAGTAATTATGAAGTCATCACAACAGCGGCTTTCATTTTGACTCACTATGCGCACTCAAGGATGTTTGTCATCGTTTTAAATAACTCAATTTTTATTGAAAACATTTTTTTTTTTTTGAAGCGCTCCTTAATTTTAAAAGCTTTCTGTTCTGCCTTTTCACCATTTTTTTAATAGATGATGTGTAAAATGAAGTCAGGTAAATAGCTTTCTCTCTCCCAGCCAGTTTCACAATACTTCTGTTACTAACACAGTATTCTACTACAGTGACTTGAATATGACATTGGAATTACAAGAACGGCTCTAAATTGGTTTAAATCATATTTATCTGATAGATTCCAATTTGTAAATATTGAATATTCATCATACACTAAAGTTAGTCATGGAGTTCCTCAGGGTTCAATGCTTGGACCAATACTCTTTACCTTGTATATGCTTCCATTATGTAAAGTTATTAAACAGCATGGGATACATTTTCATTGTTATGTTGATGATACACAGTTATGTTTGTCCATGAAACCCAATGAATCCAATCAGCTACTTAGACTACAAGCATGTCTTAAAGACATAAAAATCTGGATGACACAAAATTTTCTGCATTTGAACACAGACAAGAAGACTGAGGTTTTAGTTTTTGGGCTTGAGCATCTTAGGAATTAATTTTTCAGTCTTTCTCCCTCCTTAGACGGCATTAATCTGGACTCCAGCTCTAATGTTAAAAATCTTGGTGTTATTTTTGATCAGGACATGTCTTTTATCCCCCACATTAAAAACGTTACTAGAACCGCCTTCTTCCACCTGCGTAATATCACTAAAATTAGAAACACCTAAAAATTATGCAGAAAAACTGGTTCATGCATTTGTCACGTCTAGACTGGACTATTGCAATGGTTTATTATCTGGGTGCCCAAATAGTTCTTTAAAAAGTCTTCAGTTGATCCAAAATGCTGCTGCCAGAGTCTTAACTGGAGTTACTGGGAGAGAACATATCTCTTCAGTTTTAGTTTCTCTCCATTGGCTCCCTGTCAAATCCAGAATTAAATTCAAAATCTTACTTCTAATCTACAAAGCTCTCAACAACCTAGCTCCGTCTTATATTAAAGATCTTATTGTTCCATATTTTCCTAACAGAGCACTTCACTATCAGACTGCAGGCTTACTTGCAGTTCCTAGAGTTTTCAAAAGTGGAATGGGATGAAGATATTTCAGTTATCAGGCTCCCCTCTTGTGGAACCAACTTCCAGTTTCTGTCCGTGAGGCTGACACATTGTCCAGTTTTAAGACGGGGCTCAAAATTTTCCTTTTTGATAAATCCTATAGTTAGGGTTGACTTGTTATGCTGTCTTAAGCTTAGATTACTGGAGGACAAATTGACCTCATTTCATCAAATTAATAGTTAAAATTGAATAGTTTTTATTTGATATTATTTCTATCTTAACATGTGATTCTTGACCTGCCATTGTGTATCTGTTCCTCTCAAACCCAGCTGGTCGAAGCAGATGACCTGGTTCTTTTAAAGGTTTCTTCCTCATGAGGGAGTTTTTCCTTTCCACTGTCGCCTTCATGTTTGCTCAAGATGAGAGTTCTGTGATGGAGTTAAACTCAAAGCAGTCTGCTCCTCAGATAAATTGTGTTAACTTACCTTTTTTATACATGAATGTTTCTGTTCAGTGCCCTGGGATGACTTCTGTCGTGACTTGGCGCTTTATAAATAAACTGAACTGAATATATGTTTGCCAAGCGGTTTCAGTGCTGCTTGCTTAAAACTATTGTACCGTAAATGTTTTAACGAATTAAAGAATCCATGAACAAATTAGTCTGTAGTGACAGTTTAGTTTTGTTCAGTCTTAAAATAGCCCAAATATTTTTGCTGTGAATTATGACATGCAGTAAACCTCCCTGATCCATAAAACACATAGTGCAGCAAAGTACAGCTAACTGTTCACACTCCAAAAATAAAACATGTTTTCAGGCTGTTTTTTAATCTTGAGGCCAGCATCTTCAGAGTTTGTGTCTTATAATGAGGAGCCAACCCTCCTAAAGACTGTTCTGCTGCACTGACTCTATATTTACTCTTATTTTCTTATGAACAACGCTAATGAGTGAATGAACAACTTCTGTACAATTCAAACAACAGCAATGGAAGAATTGTATCTTATGCATTTAATAAAGAAAAATGGCCTCAAATTATTTATTAAACTCAATTCAATTTGTTTACATATAGCGCCAAATCAAATGCCAAGTTGTCTTAGGGCAATGTACAAAAAACATTCACATACAAAAAAAAGCCATTCAGTAAAAATTAAATATCTAAGGAAGCCATCAGATTGCGTTGACGCTTCACTTCGTCTTAGTCTCCCATCCTGAGCAAGCACAATGGCAACAGTGGAAAGGAAAATCTCCCTTTTAACAGGATGAAACCTCCAGCAGAACCAGGCTCAGGAACAGTGGCCATCCGCTTCGGCTGGCTGGGGTAAATTAGCGTTATCTTGGGTTTACTAAAATAATATAATAAAATCATGGATATGCAGATGCAAAAAGGTGTAATCTTTTCTTAGAAAAATTATATTTAAAACCTTGATAAAGTCTAGCATTTGTTTAAAGAATATATATTACCTTCTGCTTTTCTAGCCCGAGTTTTAAACTAAAGCCCTATTCACACGGGATTAGTTTTACCTAGGGACCACATGTAAATTACTCCCCAACGTCTGTGTTTTATGTGGTGCATTCGCACATTATAACCAAAGCCTGAGATTTAGCTGGAATGTACGGACATCTTCTAGATATGGTGTAAACACGCTGCGTTGTCACGACCGGGCCGATCCATATAATGTGCTTAATGTGCGGGCCGGGTTGGTCTCGGGCTTTGATGCGGTTTTATAAATCATACAGCGCAAATAAACCTAAATAAGAATGCACAATATAAATTTGTGTTAATGAATTGTTGAGGAGGAGACAGGTCTGACTGGCCGGTTTAAAGAGGTAAAAAAGTCGCTTTAAGCTCAGATGGACAACCTGTCACCGGCCGCGCGCGTCCGCTGATCCACCAGTTGAAATGGACTTGTGACCTGTCCAGGGTGTCCCCCACCTCTTACACAGAGATGGCTGGACATGGGCACCAGCGACCCCTGCTACCCAAAAAGGAAGAAGTGGGTAAATATAATGGATGGATGGATGGGTGGGTCAGCTGATCACCGGCTGTGCGCGTCTCCGCACCTGCTGTCATCTGCAGTGAAGGAAGTAGCAGCATCTACAAAAGCCGAAGCGAGCAGCGCATTCTTTTAAAATATCCTTGTTCTATATTTTTCCAAATGGTTTTGCGTAAACAAAAACAAAAAACGCCTAATTACGTATCAGATCCTGCCCATTTCTATTCAAATCACAGAGACACCTATTCACATTGGATTAGTATTATCACTACCTCTCAGAGTTCAGCAACATATAGTAGGTCATTCACGGGGGAATTTTTTCTTTACAAATTACTGACATGGCCGATTTTCACGGGATTAACAACACAGACAATCTCCGTAATAATTACAAATTGAATGTGGGCCCTAGGTAAAACTAATCCCGTGCGAACAGGGCTTTAGATTAGTTGATCTTGAAAAATGATGCAGTTGTGGCTGCTTTGGTCAAACTTTCAAAATAACATTATGTGCAATCTCATGCAATATTTTCCTTGAACTCCCTTAATTCGTTTGTGCCTAATGTATGCATTGTGAACACCTGTCAGCTAGTAACACACCAAATGTTAGCTCAATGACTGTAAAATTCAGTGCAATAATTAGCAGCCTGTTTGAGTATCTGATGCACTGATGATATTGGTCAGACGGGAAGCTCTGATGGACAGTGAATGCTCCAAGTGGATTGCTGAACGGATGTCAGGCTGTTGGATCAACAACAAGCTGTTCTTTGGCTCAGGCAAAGATGCAACTTGTACCATGAATTTCTGCTTTATTCCAACTTGGACAGCTGAGTGCATTCTGCTCTCTTTGGCTTGGAGAGCCAAATGATTACGCTCAAACATGTTTCATTTGCTGCATCCATTTGGTCTAAGCACTATAATTTTAAACAGGCAACCTTGCCATCCAGAAAACAAGTGCAAAAAATCATCACGGCCTGTAATATAGGCCAAATCAACACTTGCTCTCTTCCTACAAGAAAGCTAATTGTTCTTACTCACACTTGGTTAATGACAGAGACAACTGTGTCTTCTGCTGGATGAAAAAACAAGTCGACGGTCTGATCTCTTTCTCACAGATGTGCAGACATTGACTGTCATCTGCTGAAAAGACGATCTCAGTGTCTCTGTGTCTGGCTGACTGCCTCCTGAAACAACCTCTCCATCAATCAATCCCTGTTTCTGTTGCGTCTCATTTTTTTTTTTTATCATGCAGCCTCTTTTTTAATGCTACTCACAGCTTGCATTTCAGCAAAAAACACACAGAAAGGAGGCTTTTAATACTAACTTCTCATTGCAGTTAGAAAGGAGTAAAATGGACGGACAGAGATGGAGATGCTGTTAATGAGCTTCCCCCTCCTCATCATTTTCCTGGCAGATGTGCGAACCTGTTTTAAGTGTTTCGCTGCGCAAGTGATTGACATTTATGTGATTAAAGACCGGCAATCAGATCACCGTGGATCTGTAAATGCAAAATGAAATGTGAGCTCACTGTAAATAGTTTTGACTCTGCAGTGCTTGTTGTTTGGCTGGCTTTATGATTAAATTGCTGGTATTTGTAAGTGCCCAACACTCTGTTGTGAATAAAAGGATTAACTCTTAATAAAAGGTGGATACTGCTCTCGCTTAATAAAAGTCTTTGTCTTAAATCTAACTGAAAAGGTCACGATGCAGCACTGACGTTAATAACTAGAGAGTTCCTGGAGAAACTTTGAAGAGGATTGCCAAGTGGCGGCCATTTTAAAGTTTTGATTTAACAGTGTTTTGTGTTGGGGTTCGCTCTCAGCTACCATCGTGCCAAATTTCAGCTCAAAACGACAAAAAAAAATCAACGAGTTAGTCGTTTTTTTAAGCTATGGTGTAGGGGTGTAAATCACCAGCTTTACCACAATACAATATTATATTGATTTGTTTGTATGACGATACAATTTTTCTCGATATCACAAAGTCTGTCACGATACGATTTCCATTCTATTCGATTCACAAGTCTGCGATCGATATATTGCGATATCAAATGCCCATCTCATTTACATATAAATAAATTTACAAAAACAATTCAAATATGATTTAACCATTTTATTACTTTTATTACAAGAACCTAGCATTAAAAAAAAACAAACACATTTTTTCTTCATTAATGAAAAAATAAAATAAATGATCTGTTCAGTATCGTCTCACATTTCTCATGTTTAAGTGCATTTTTTAAACCAGTTAACTTAAAAGTGCCCTGATTACCTTTCAGTTATAAAGAAACAAAAACAGATATTGAGCTTACATAACATGGCTATCAATGCCGTGTTTCTTCTTCAGGTGAACGGCAATTTGTTGTGTCTCCCGAGTATTTGAACTCACACTGGCACCTGTTGCATACGACATGAGTTTTGCCTGTTGAGCCGTCCTTCTGTTGGAATCCAAAATATTTCCACAGTGTTGATTTAAATCCAGAAGGAGAGTAAATTTTATTATCTGTGTTTTCTGAGACGGTCACAGAGCGAAGCCGCTCACGGAATGGTGACGCAGACGTGCCTTGGGAATTTCAAAATAAAAGTGTATTTTAAAGATGACGATATGAACCGATGTTTTAGTTTTGCCACGATATAACTGAATCATTAATCATTTAATCAATATATCAATTTAAATCGATGTATTGTTACATCCCTACTATCTTGGAATTTTTATTTGAATTCAGTATGTCATGGGGAATGTTCTCAACTATAACCACAACGATTTTCAGCTTAATATCTCTAAAAATGGCTGACTTACAGTATTTTTCCTTTTTAGTTCAGATGACCATCTCACATGTTTGATTTTCAACCATTCTATGAAAAACGACTAATAAAAATGGCGACTTTGTTTGCAAATTACGTCACCATGATAAATTGAAACACCAATAAATGTAATTGCACACATCATGGTGCTGAGCCGGCCGTTTTGATATAACACTTGTGGGGGTGCACGTTGTGGTTCGGACTGCATTAAAGTTGACGGTAGAGTAAGATATAAAGTTAAGAAACCCTTGTCAGGTGGATAATAATAGTTGGCTACCTTTCTAGGCAGTCCCCAATTAAAAAGTATATCACCCATTCTGGTCAAAACTTAAAAATAACTAAGGACAATGTCATGCAGTACTGTGAAATGTCATGCATGACTCTCAGTTACTACCACAGTGGTAGGGTTGTATCAATGAATGAACATTTGACAATGATATCTGCTTTTTTTGTGCCAGTGAGACACCATGACGACGCTACTGGACTTAAAGAGTAGTGTGCTGAGGCAGGTTCAGAGGAGCCAGTCCCTGAGAAGCCGAAGGGAGCCCCCTCCCAGTGCCAGCAGCCCCCTCACACACTGTCCTGAGCCATTACCTCGCAGGTGAGTCACCGGTGTGCACCCATACACACTTACACATAACTTCACATCCTCAGGAATGGCTACGATCGCGATGTTTTTTAACTGGTCAGTTAGATATGAAGCTCATTTTATGGAACATTCCATAAATTATTTAAAGTGCGGTCCGTTTTCTGTAATTATCCTGATGTTTATTCTTTCCCTGAACAAAAGTCATAAAATATTCTGTTCAAAAATGGTAAAACAAACCTTGTGTGTGCCAAAAAATAGCAAAGATTAATCAACTGGCCTTTACCAAGCCGTAATATTTGTCACTTTACTGAATAAATACTTATATAACAAAAACTCTGATGATTTTCAGAAACATCATGTAGACAAAAATGGTCCTTAAAAACGTAAATACAAAATTAGAAAAAAATATTTTAAAATATCAACACATAACTTATTAGCCAGTGTCATTACTTACAGTCGCAATACATAATACAACTAGTGTGTACCTTGTGCATACCTACCCAGTATGTACTTTGTAAGTAAAGGGTAACAAGTCACTTCATACTACAAACCAGTCCTTGTACGTACCAGGTATGTAGCTGGTAAGTATCCGGTAAGCATTAAGTACATACCAGTCAATTATGCACTCAGTTTTTAACTCACTTCATAGCAGAATGTATAATGCTTTACTATAATTGTACTTGATTTAAAAAAATAATCTAAATCAGTGTGAAAACCCCTGATTGTAAAATTGTTGATGCTCCTTCAGTACCATTTTAGTCACTCTCTTGTAGATTTGCTTCACTGTTTGTGATCTATGCCTTGTTGTACTTTAGCTGTTGAAAAGTTTGCTTCCTATTTGACTCTTGCGTATTTAGTGTAAAAATAAATTCATGGTCAAATCAGTGACTGTTCTGATCTTGTGGCAGCTAAATGTGACCACATCATCAGCCCTATGCTGCCACGTTTGGCAGTAAGGTGTTTGTGCTGGTATGATTTTACCAAATTATCACTGTGCGTTCTGATCAAACACCTTCAACAGAGCTCCAAGTCTTGGTACCATGTTTATATTGTCAGGACGGAGGCGTTCTCCTTGCAACATCTCAAAATAGGTCATATTTGCTGAGGTGTCTTTTAGCGGACTTTAACATTAAACCCGTGACTGAGGATTCTAAATCGCCTCGTGAGCGAGTGTTTGCATGCATGGTTGTGTGTCTGTGTTGGACAGAGCTGGTGACATGTCCAGCTTCTACCTGGTACAGTACTTCTGGTATTGTCAGAATGGAAACATTACGCAACCCCATTTCCACAACCTTGAACGAGACAAAATACGGGCAGAAAATAACTGGATCAATGTTGAATGGGGGCGGCACGGTGGGTCAGTTGGTAGAGCTGTTGCCTTTCAGCGAGGAGGTCGCCAGCTGGAACCTTTCTGGGTGGAGTTTGCGTGTTCTCTCCGTGCATGCATGGGTTTTCTCCAGGTAATCCAGTTTCCTCCCACAGACCAAAAACATACATGTTAGGCTGATTGGTGACTCTAAATTGTCCCTAGGTGTGAGTGTTGTCTCTTTGTCTCTATGTGTCCCTGTGATGGACTGGAGACCTGTCCTGGATGTCCCCCGCCTCTCACACAGTGACTATGAGCACCAGCGACCCCCCGTGACCTGAAAAGTAAGAAGCAGGTGAACATAAAGATCTGTAAAGTCGGTGATTCGGCTCCGGATATTTTTTTATTTTTATTTTCATTTAATTTACTTTTTGTTTTTGCCATTTTTTAAAACTTGAAACTAGGGCTGGACGATATGTCCAAAATTTTTATCACAATATATTTCTTAATTTTGGTCGATAACGATATAATTCCGATATTGATATAAACAATATAAAAGCCTCAGAAAAACTGTACAAACTGTACAATTAAATTAATGTTCACCCTTTATTTGTATTTAGACTTCAAAGAAATTAGAAATCACTGTCAAATAAACATAAAACTCTCAACGTTGTCAGTATTAATAGTTTGAACTGTAAACAACAACAACAACATAACCTAGCCCATGCAGCAAACATCTGCGTTCTCCGCTTCAACCCAAACAGAAAAAGAAATGCGTCAGTGAAACGCTGTAATCATATCGAAATATTGAAAACGTGCTTTAAACTTAGGTCTGTCACGATAGCAAATTTTGCTGGGCGATTAATTGTCTCGGAAATTATTGCAATAAACAATAATATTGTTTGAAATTTAACAATAATTGTAACATTTTAGAAGAAAGGTTGATTTGTTTGGAGTGTAGTACCTTTTTTGACCACCTGATGGTAGTATAAGACGGTTTGAACCAAAGGATGGATAGATGAGCAGCGTGTCTCTCTAAGAAAAATGGGAGGGAGGGCCCTTGACGTGACATGGCCTGACATGGTGACATGGTAGCCGCTTGGTGATTTGAGCTCTTAGCATAGCATTTTTCACACAATGTTTTTAATAAACAAAAAAATAAGTTTAAACAACTTTTTATACAAAGACATGGGTTTCAACTGGTTTTCAACTTGAGCATGGACTTTCTTGTTTCAACTGTGAATTTTGGAGCTCGACTAGACGGAGGTTTATTCCCAAGGTCGGCCTGTTAGCTTAGCTCGTAGCTTAGCTTCTCAGCTTAGCTGCTTTTAACAATAAAAAAACACCATTTTGGACGATTAAACAGATTTTAATGAAAAAAGAGAAAGGAGTCAGTGAAAAGCACCGGAGTTGAGCCATGTCTTCAATAGAAAGAGAGCGACAGAAGAAACGGTAAAGCCGGTAAATGAAAACGAGGTCGATAATTTTCATTCATCATGCGATTGATTGATTAATTGATTAATTGTTTATCGCGATAGGCCTATTAAAATCATATCACCGTTATTGAATAAAAGTATATCATGATATATATCGATATCAAATTATTGTCCAGCCCTACTTGAAACTAAACTTCTAAGAAAACCCCATTTTGTAATTAGTTTCTAACTGTAAAATGGTGAACTGTTTTTTTTTTTTTTCTAAAGCTGAACCCAAACAATATGCTTTTAGAATTATTGATGATGTCGTATCTCTTTGGCATTGAGTCAACACACACAATCCTCACAGTACTTACTTTTTTTACTTTTCTTCATATGCTGTTTTCACTTATCTCTATAGATTTGTAGATAAATTAATGTAAAACAACAAATGCCTGGGATTAAAGCTTAAAGGGAGCAGGCTTAATATGTGCTTGATTGTAGCCATTTCTGATAATAGATTTGCTTATGAGAGTAATTTCTTTTAGGAAATTAAAGTGCATTTAAGGTGGCTCAAAAGATAATGACATCTCTTTGAAAACAGCAACACAAGCGCTGAAGCAATGATTTCTTGTTTGCTATTAATTTGTTTGCCACTAAATGTCCTGCTGAAGCTGCAGGTCATAATTTCTTGTCAACATGAGGTGATAAATGTGTTGCATTTAAACCTGAGCTGTGGTTCACTCTGAGAAGACCGTTCAGTATAGCAACTGTTTCCCCAATGACATGTAAACCACATCGTTACACGCACAGGCAGACCCCTCGGAGATCACAAATGCTGTTTCCTTGTAGATGGGTTCAGACGACCAGATGCTTGCTGTTTTTGTTTGAGTGATAAAGTTGTCATGAAGAAGGCGGCCCAACAACCCAGGTATATTTGCTGCCTCTGTTTTTCTTCGTCAATGGAAATGTACACACATTTACACGATGTTATGTATGTAGGATCATTTGTATGTGTAGATGGTTAGTATTTTTGTGGCTCACATCGAGATTAAAGGCTTAAATCCTCAAACCCAGTCATTGTTCACCATCATCATGTGCTTGAACATTTCTTTCTTGATTGAAGTGTTTTCTTCTGGGATTCTGCTGCCTATATATGCAATATTTAAGAGATCTCTATATGATCTGATGTATGTAAAAATAACTCCCCTCACTTTCAGTAAACGTTATATTCTGCACTTCGATTTAACTGATAGGCAGCACTTTTTACCTCTGTGGTCAAAGAAGAAAATTTATATTTTTCTCTTTGAATAATCGTCTTCTGTTTTCCCAGAGGTTTTGTGGACTGAGAAGTTCAGACTGAGATTCACTGATTTTAGTCTGACAAACTTTACGATAGCTTTTCCTGTGATCTGTCTGTCACTATCTGCACCGCTCTGTTTCTCTTCTCATCGTGCTCCTGTGCACACCTGTCCCCAATCCTAATCACTGCAGGTGTTTCTCACTCGTCTCATTAGTGTCAGTATTTATTCTATGTGTTTTCAAACGCTCACTCCTCCTTCCATGCTTCCATGGTGTCCACGGTCTGGTCTTCTCCTTTTTGTCCTACGTAAGTTTTGCTACCCTGTCAGCACGTTTGTTTTTCTTTAATAAATCATTACGTTTTTCTCCTGTCCTCAGTCTGTTGGAGTCAGCCTCCCCACCATCACAGACATCTACACCTCTAGATGCAGGAAGAGGGCCACCTGCATCATGAAGGACCTCACTCACCCAGCACACACACTTTTTGTCCCGCTCCCCTCAGAAAGGAGGTTGAGGAGCATTAAGTGTAGAACCACTAGACTGAGGAACAGCTTCTACCCTGAGGCTGTTAGACTCATGAAAATTTAACCAGGATAATCACTGTGAAGATAAATCACATCATGAAGCTGATTTATTTTGTGCTGCTGTTTTTGTTTTGTACTATTAGTGCTTAGTGCATTTTTAGTTAACATTTTTCTTAGTTCATATCTTATATCTTAATACTGTTTTTCTTTTACATTTTAAACTTTTGTTGGATGTAACTGGGACCCTGTGTACACAGTTTCGTTCCACCACATGTACCACATGTGGTGCGAATGACAACTAAAAAAACTCTGACTCTGATGCCTCTGCCTGCACTTGGGTTCGGCATTAAACGCCAGATCGTATCACCTGTAACCTTTGCTAAAGGTCAATACGGTGCTAATTTTGTATGTAAATAGCCACCAACCTGTGCACTCCACTGATGATGTCTAGCATCATGACATGTT